AACTTTCCTATACCCTACTGCCATTCTTTAAGATGTGCAATGATTAATTTTGAGGAAAGCGAGAAGTTCCTGGCGTTTGTCAAACGGCACGTCGAAGCCAGGGAAAGGTTAATGATGCACCAGTCATGTTTTCCACTCGATAGTTGGTAATTAACAAATATCGCGGCCAAGACGTCTCAGATGAAGCAATCAAGAAGCCATAAAGAGATATCTAGTTGCAGTCATGCGCATTTTAGCTAATTTGCTCGGTGGTGAGAAAGCACCGGTCTAATCAGAGCAGGGTGCAGCAGCCAGGGCACCCCACGCTGCTCACCTACAGCAGGGCACGTGTGCTCTGCGTCTCCACCTCCCCACTTTTTGGTTCTCCTTCGTGCTCTGTGAACATTTCTCAGCAGTGAGTCAAGGCCAGGATTCCCCTACAGAGCGCCGTGCAGCACAGGGCAGCATTGTGCACCTGGCATTGCCCTATCTAGTGGCTACTTCAGGGTTTTCCAGAACTGCCTTCTGCTTGGAAAGAACTCGAGCCAAAAGTCCTGACCGGTCGTAGTGTTCTTCATCATTCATGCCTTGGTGAGGTCCTCTGTAAGTTTAATGTAGTAGTTCGGTAGTGGGGGAAGTCACGAGGAGATGGGAAATGTCCCATCGGGTCGATGAAGGCGATGCCTTTGCACACTTGCACCCAAGCTTAACACCACAGCCTCACGCTAAGAGTACTGATGTTGGGAACCTTGCAACAGCTTGGGGAGAACTGCCAAAATCTGGTTTCGTGCAGCTGGGTGGCAAGAAGGTGGTTCTGCTCGTACTCTTCCTCCTTTTCTTTACTGCACTAGCTTTCACTCCAATGATCCTTTCCTCCCCCCCCGGCCAGCCTTCAACAAGAAGTCTGATGGGAGGAGTAAGAGCTCAGAGCACGGTGCCAAGTTCCTCTTTGGTCGGTGACTCACGGGAGCTTCCCAGCTGCCACCACCCCTTCCTGCCGGCGCACGGCGAGGGGTGACTCAGGTGTGCTGGGAACTGCGCTCCCTGCCCCTTGTGTGGGGGCTCGTTGGAGGGTGCCAGGAGGGAAAGGGACGTGTTGGAACTAGCTGCTGCGCCGGCAGCCAGGCTCCTTTTACAAAGAGAATGCTTTGTTCGGAGCCGGAAGGTAAAGCAGGAAATTCGGAGTCTCTCCATCCCACGAACAGCCGGACAGCACCAAAAGTTCCCAGTAGGGTCCGGAGAAAATCTCTCCTTGTCCCCTTGCAAGCTGACAGCGAGGGAAGGGAAGTTTCTCTTCCCATCACGCTTCCCCTGGATTCACACTGCACAGCTGCAGCTGAGCACGGTCTGCCCAGACACGCAGAGGGCAATCGCACCCCAACCAGCACAGGTCTGACTGGCTGCCAGCAGTGGTGTGTTGGGACTGACGGGCAGCAGCACGCGACCTTCTGTCCGGAGGAACTGCAGGAACAACGGGAAAAAGAGCAGCTTTTGGGCCAGCCTTTTTCCTCCCAATTAAACCTGAGTGGGCTAGAAGAACCAAAGTGGCTCCGTGGATATCATCGAACTGAAAAAGAAACACAGGAAGCGAGCAGAATGCATTTCTCTGTAAAACTTTATAGCAGCGCCCGGCGCCAAAATCAGATCTCGATGCAAACAAGCCACATCTCTTCACCTGGCCTATGAGCGGCCTGACCCTACTCTAAACGTCTGCTATTTTTATTTCCTACAGCCTGCTTTGTGCTTCAGTCAATGAGGATGATGTGGAAGTGAGAAATCATTCGAGAGCTCAAAAAAAAAAAAAAAAAAGGCTGTGCTATGACTGATCTTTTCAGTTCTGCTGTTTGATTCCGCTCACAATTGCAGCTAATGTCCAGAGCAGCCTGTTCTGGCATGCAGGCATCCCTTGTGGTTATGCTCTGCCTTCCTCTTCCCTGGATCTTTTGTTGTTGGTTTTTTTCACGTGGCGGTGCTGATCACTTAAGAAACGTTTTCTTGAACTCTCATTGGCAAAAGCTGCCGCGAGGTGTGCTTGCACAGGGGCAGGCTGTGAATGTAAGGGTTTCCCCGTCGGCTTGCTAGAAAATAAAGGGAAAAAACAAGGCTCAACCCCATCTGACGGCTGATGTAAGGCTCAGCCCTTCTCCCCTCCTCAGTAATCACGTTATTCACTGGGATGGAAAAACAGAGCCGGTGTTAATTTCCTCCATTTCCACACCTTGCCGTGCAGCACAAGCTCCTGCCACCTCTTGCCCTTCGGGGACCAATTAGTGCAGGTGAAACCAAACACAGCAGCAGTGTTGCTAGGGATGGGAGATGGGGACTTAACGCAACTTTGGGAGCCCGGCAAGAAATGTGGAGGGGCAACTGTAAGGAAGGAAAGCTGGAGGTGATTTGGAAACGTATGGCGGCTGCTGGGAGCGTCCCCAGGGTCTGTGATAGGCAGCTTTGAGGAGGGATGCTGCCTCTGGAGGAGTGGTGCAGCACCGGGGGCCTCCAAGCTTTGGTCCTGTGGACTTTGCAGTGTTCTTTCCCATCCATATGGTGACACTGTCAGAATCCAGCCTGTTACTGGAGGCAGGTAGAGGGCGAGCCTGAAGAAATGCTTGAGGAATTCGAACTCGGTGCATTTAGGATTCTGTAGGTGGGCCTAAGGAGCGATGGAGTGGTTCGGGTTCTGCTTCTTGCCCCTCTGACCCCTCCATTCCCGCTGACTTAGAGGGAGAAATGAGCCACAGACAGCTTTAAAAACGTCTCAAAAATCAAAACCAGCCACCTTGGAGGAGACGCAGGACGGCACCGCGTTTTCCCTGCTCCTTTGTTTCTCTGGTTTCCTCTCTCAGCTCAGAACACGTGGGCACAGCTCCCACGGTCTGCAAACATCTTGGATCTCGCTCCTGTGTGCCTGCTTCACAACTTCTGCCTCTAGAAACAGCCCCTTCCCAGCTTTGTTCCTGTAATTACAGCACCGCGCGGGACAGACGGGGAGAGAAGGGCCGTAATTAGGATCCGTTCAAGAAAGCATTTCCTGCACTGAGCACAGATCTCCTGCCAGCACTGCCTCTGCTGCCTCCCGACCGCTCGTTCTGCATGCAGTGCCAGCTGTCACAAGGCACGCTTCGCCTCCTTTGGCTTTGTGCAAAACTTTTATTCTCCTTTTCCCCCCCCATCCCTTTCCCTGATGGTGCCGTCAAGTGAAGCTCGCTGTACAACGGCGCTGCTCTGTGCTGCTCTAGCATCTTTCATCTCAAGGTTCAATGCTGTACTCAGACATTCCCTGTGAACCGACTGCATTTTAATTTCTCTTCCTTCGGTGGTTGGGCGTGCTCGTGTTCCTTAGGTTATTCTGAGATATTCAGTCTAAAGCTGCGCCTTCGGAGACTGAGAATGAATTTCCCTCTGTGAAGGGGTTTTCTGCATTAGCAGACAAAGGACCACTGTAGTTTCTGTAGCAGTCTCCAAGGCAGTGGCTTCCAGTGCGGTGTACGACCGCAGCTATGATGGAGATACAAGGACAATTCGTTTCCCAAGTCACTACGCTGAAGGTTCCTGGAATGACAAATCTGTGTTGCAAGAAAAACAGGTCAGGTTTTCCCTCAGTGTAACCCCTTTGGGACAGGCTGACATCTGAGATCTGTACGACTGATTTCCTTTATAACAATAAATTGTTTCTATTGGAAAGAAGGATCAGCGTCGGTCTCCTGTTGGAGAGCTGAGAAGTGTAACTCTGCTAAGCACACCTCTAATACTGAACGTGCAGTTTGTAAAGTCTATGATTTCCTGACATCTGCCGGGTTGGAGAAGATATTCTGTGTTTTTATTGTTTCTGCTATTTGGCATTCAGATGGGCAGTCAGTCGAGCACTGCTTGGTTTCCCCATTTGAATGATCCATGCAAAGTTGATCTCTGCTTTACAAATGGCATTTTGCTCACTCTTTGCTGGCTGTGTTGGTTCCAGAAGCTCCTGTAGAACTGCAGAGCTGCAGCGCATGCTCTCTTCCTGCAGGCATCATCCACGCTACGTTTAGGCCTTCTTTCAAGGCTTTCTTTTTTGACCCCTTCTTTGAGGACAAGGCTTGATACCTCTTACCCGGACAGAATTATAGGACCACTCAGGTTGGAAAAGACCTCTAAGATCAACCAATCCAACCACCCACCTACCACCGGTACTGCCCACCAAACCATGCTGCCCTCAGTGTTATGTCCACCCTTCCCTTAGACACCTCCACAACGGTGACTCCCCACCTCCCTGGGCAGCCTGTGCCAGTGCATCACTGCTCTTTCAGAGAAGACATTCTTCCTCCTATCCAACCTGATGACACACTCGCTGTCTAAAAACTGTATAAAACAGATCTCAAAGGCACCCTGTCGGGTAGCGTGCTTGTCCCACTGTGTACCTGCCTCGCTAATGCTGTTCCATGGCAGCAGGCAAGTCTGTGTCGAAGATAAATGGTCAGGATAATTGATCATCCATTCGTGTGTTTTCGGAGCTACTCCACATCTCAGGAACTCTTTCGGGATGCCAGAATTGGTTGGCCTTACCTAAGCCTGCTTTACCTATTCAAACAGATGCTGTTGCCAACAGCGTGGATAGCAGCAGGTAAACCAGGGTTCATAAGGAAAGAGAGGCCTTCTCCCATCTCCATCTTCACATTACAGGGAGGTTCAGATCAAAACTCTCGTTAGGATCTCAACAAAGTTCAGTCACCAGCCATGAAGCAGCGCCTGCGCTTGATGTTCCCGAGTATTCACAGCACAAAACCTCTGCTGTGTCACACAGGCAAAGGGACTTGGCAGCAGGGCCCTCGGACTGAGCCCCAGCTGGTCCCTGGGCACGGAGCAGCGGCTGCACGCCGTGATGCTGAGCCACAGCAGTGGGATGCTCTGAGCCAAACGGGTTTGCGTTGCTCAGCAAAGTGACCTGCGACTGACCCCTCCAGACACCGTCTCTGCTCTGCATGCTCACAGATTAATGTTGTTTAGAGACTGGCCGAGCTCATGAGGTCATCTCATTTTTACAGACGCTGTGCGTGGCACTGGCAAACTGGCTTTGAAATACCCCTTGCATCCCACTCCCATGATGAAGACTCCATTCCCTAGGCCAAGTTCTCTGCGCTGCTCCGTGGGTTCCCTTTCTGACGGTGGCTGCTCCGTGGCTGCTCGCCCACCCAGATGACTCCACGGACGTGGATCTGCACCGACCTCTGCCTCAGCGTGCGGGTGAGTGCTGCAGCTTCTGCAGATGAGAAGCATAAGGTCTGCTCAGCTCTCGTGGCTCTAGGAAGACCCCAGCGTGGCTCAGGAGGCTCGGATTGGGCCGCTCACTGTTCTTGCAGAGCCCTCCTGCCCTCGCCACGCAAACCCCAGCTCAGCATGACAGCGCCTTTCCTCGCCCCAGACCGGTAATCAAACAATCCATGTGCATATCCAGCCCAACCCAGAAATAATTTGCACAAAACAAAGCAGCGGAGTCACCTGTCCCGTAAGGCACGGCAGACGGTTTGGATTTCTTCAGTCTTAAAGCGTTTCTTAGCAGCTAGGGCTGAATGCAGTTGATTTTTGCTGATCGAAACAGGAGGTAGGTCAGGGTGTTCGGTCTGCTTTTGCTACGCAGTGGTCTGTTGTTTTAAACAGCGGTCTGTTGTATCAGGCCTGAGTGAAAAAACCACCAGGAAACCAGAGGTTTGAAGCTGCTGAGGAAGGCGGTGTGTTTGTTCGGCACTGCGCGGATTTCTGTGTCAGAGAAGATGGTTGCACGCATCGAGCCAGAAATCAGATGAGGTTTTGTTTCTTTTGCTGCCTCATTTTATCATCATTACTAATTGCAGGCTCAGAGGTTTGAAATCGCTCAGTTGTGTTCTGTTGCAAGGGACAGGAGGGAGGTGCGTTTCTTTCAAGTAATGCGACCGGTTTCTGCACCTGGTGCTGCAGAGTTGGGGTCAGGTATTCCTGCAGCTCTGGAAAACAGCAGCAGCTCTGCAGGTACGTCTAAGTGTGATGCAGGCATCGCCTTCCGCTGTGCCTTGGCATGTGAAAGCAGCACAGCCAAAATCCTGGCAACACAGACCGGCAGCTTAGAGATAATCCTCAAGGACCCCGTCTTTAAGAAAGGGGGTCATTTTTTCCTCTCAGTTGGTTCCCGCAGGTAGGAAATACGGGGAATTGCATCTCAATGACAGTCAACCATGTTGTAAGTGTGAATCACGGCTCAACAGTGCCCAGGATGTTTGCTTTTTGAACAGGGAAAAGAGCAGGGAACTTCTCAGAACCCAGCTTGGCAGACTTGTTGAGGACCTGTCTCAGTGCAGCTGCCAGGGCCCTTCCCGCACGTTCAGAGCTGCTCCAAACAGAGGAGAGAGCTTCTGCGTGTGGTCTGAGGAAACCTCGGCGAGGAAGGTGCAACGAGTCTTTGAACTTTGTGGGGAAGATATGGAAAAAAGCAATGAGGGACTGAGCAATGCCACGGCCACGAACCAAACTGCAGTGTGCAGGGAAGGAAGCAGCCAGCCTAAGCTGGCCATCCCCAGACGTGCTTTCCTACAGTTAACAACCAAACCCCTGCAGTCCTCAGAGGGAGCAGGTTTGGGAGTAAGAACGCAGCCGACAGCGTTCAAAGTAAGATTTCAGGTGGGCTTTTTCCCACTGGTCCCAACAATCGAGAGCTGTTTGGGGTCTTTTTGTACGTTTTGGATCTTGCGGTCGGCTCTGCGTTGCGAGATTCTGCTCCTGCTCTTGCTGTAATCTGGAGCTCGCCTGCTCTCGGGAGTGAAAATCATGCCCATTGTTCTACTTTTGTGGGTACTTGTGCTGCAGTTCACTGACTTGATCTGCAGCAAACCTGTTTTTAACAGCAGATCTCAAGTGGAAGATTGTTCAAAAGGAAAGGCGTGTCTCTCTGATTAGCTGAGTTGAAGTCACCTGACCCTGAACAAATAGTTCCTGACCTGCATTTTATGTTGACTTTATTTACTTAATATAGAAACGTTAAAATTGGGCTGCAGTGAACCGCGTGTCTTTAACCGTTTCTTTTCCTGGTACTGTTCGTAGGCTGATGGAGGATCGTGGTGCTGTGCCGGGGATGCGGCGATGTTGCTGCCGCATCAGTTTCCCTCCATGGATTCATCAGCTTTGCCAGGTGGGGGGTTTCAAGAAAGCAGGTACCTGCAAAGCTGTTGCAACATGTAATGGAAGCCCGATGGGAGGGAGCCGCTTGCTCACGGAGCCGTACCACGGGCTGATGATTCAGAAGCCTGCATGCCACCAGCTCTGCACAGCGAGAGGAGGAAGGTGCTGACTCTCCTGGTAGCGCTGCTGGCACGAGGCGGTGGTGAAGTCAGGGCTCTATTTGCTCTGTCACGCGATGCAATTAGGAAAGATCTGCTCCTTCTGTGACTGCTGTCTGAACCAGCAAGCGCATATTGGAATGGAAACCGTCTCTGTGTGGGCAGAGATGTTGACAGTGCCACTTGGTTGCCCAATAGGTTCCTGATTACACATTAAGCTGGTGCACGGGGAGAAGGAATACTGCTTGCTCTAATGAAAAGATACAGTGGGCGAGGAGAAGGACACCAGATCAACGTTCAGAGTTTCTTCGCTGGATGTGACAGCTGGAGGAGCTTGGCTGCTGCTGCTAGCTCTTGATAGGCATGTATAGACAAACAGCATGTGAGCCTTTCTTCCTCCTCGTGTGATCTTAGCGGAGTTTTCTCTCAGCCTCCCTGTACCTGTAATACTTGATATAGTCTTGGAGGAAGTCAGCCCATCACTCCAGCAGTAGCATGGGATTTGCAGCTGTTGCCTGCATTTAGACCGCGGTCCTGGGGTTTGTCCACATGCCCTCTTGCAGGCTCGCCCAGCCCTGCCAGACTTGGCCTGTCCACTTGAGCAGCTCACAATCTCGCTTGGTTCTAGAAATCCATATTTTCAGAGCAAAGGCCCGTGTGAAGAGGAAGAGCGATGAGGGAGACAACGCAGACTGGAAGAGCACACAGAAGGGAGAGCATTTGTCAGCGCTGCTTGCAGAGGCGCAGCCGTGGCCACCAGGCTCCATTTACCTGCCCAGTTGCTGGGCCTTCCTGAATGTACTAGAGATTAGCAGGGCAGGAAAACACCTGCTTCCACTTAACCGATCCGAGAGGAAACAAAAGGCAAGAAAAGCTATGGCCTGTGCAACGCAGGACTGGATGAAAGGTAATATGCAGCTTCAGATTGGCAGTTGGCAGCCATAACCCTCAATTTAAAGCAGCTGAGAGTCCCAGCTCTTTAGATCTGAAATCTTGCTGCTATGAAGATGAAAGACTTTGTTTTCCCTCCTTTTTTTTTTTTTTTTTTTTCCCCTCCTCCCTTTTTTTTTCTTCTTCTTTTCATTCAACTGTGGCCAAATGATGAATAGGCAGATGGGAGTCCGGGCAAACCCAGGTGCCAGGCTGCTGCGCTGGATAATAGGCATCAAGGAGGGGCAGGTAACTGCCAGAAGGAAAGACAGAAGCACTCAGATGCTCATACACGAGCACAGGGACCCCTTCCACTTTCCTCTGGGGGAAGATGAAGTTGGTTGGATGACCACGGAAAAGGCTTCAGCGTAGACACGGGGCTGACATTCTGGTGATAGAAAAGAAGGGAATTGAGTTTGGCGAGGGTTGGTTGCTGCTCAGCGCCTCCGCAAGCAAGGCTTGGAGGAAGGCTTTTAAGGTTTGATTCTCAAAATTCACGTGTCAAACTGACCATTCAGAAGGCGAGCAAACCGGGGCTTGGCGTCGTTTGAAGTACACTGTCAGCAGGCTCTTGCTTTTCCTCCGTTTGCTTTGACTGGAGCCAGAAAGCTTCTCCTGGCTGTTAACAAACTGGTTACGCCAGGGGTACCCACCACAACACCGCAGACTGGGCCCCTTGAAATGATTAAAGGAAGAGCCCATGGGGCTCTCTTTGGTGCCAGGGTAAGGTTTTTATGCTTGTGCACAGGGCAGGGCAGGGAGGACGCCTTACCTTTCCCTCTTTCACCAGCTTGTGCCCCGCGGAAGCGTAATTTAAACCCAGGAGATCGGACGGTTGGCCTCGAGTTGGTGTGTTTACAAAGAGGGGGCAAACGGAAGGTAAGGACTGCAAGATTATAAAACTTTCTTTCCGTGTTCAAATAAACTCGTGTGAGCCCGACTCGCCTGCCCACAGCCTGTGTCATCTCTGGAGCAGTAAAGAAACTGTGCGACGTACCTGTGACCTTACGCACCACCACTGGCAAAACGTGTTTTAGCTGCAGCGTTTGGCTGCATGCAAGCTGTCCCTCCAGGTTATTGTACCGCTGCAAAGAGCAATGCACTTCTCCCCTCCTCCTTTGCTTGCTTAACTTGTTAAGACATGGAAGGTTCCTCCTGCTATGACTCCTATTCCTGACCTGACAGGTGGTGCCTTGAGCTGAACTTTGCTCTCGCAAACACGGCTCAGTTTCACGTATCAGCCTCCCGTGGAGTGGGCTCGCCCATCTGCCCAGAATTTAGTGATTCCAGCAAGGTGTGCTGCAGCCACCGTGCCCAGGGCTGGGCCGAGCACAGGCACTCGCTGCACAAGCAAACGAGGTGCAAGGATTCCGTGTGCTCAATCTCGTGCCTCTAACTCCACGGATTGTGCAACGAGCTGCTGAGCACAGGTACCGAGATGAAAGAGATGGAGGCCATGCAGGAAGTGATACTGCTGTCTACAGCCCTCAGATGAAAAGAGTGAACACCTGTATGGATCTGCCCCGGGGTGACCCCTTCCTGCAGAGCTGCGCGGGGAACAAAGAGCTGTAATATTGGATCAGAAGTCCAGGGTGCTTGGCAGCCTGTTTTCCACAAGCACATAATAGGGACTGATCGAGAAGAAAGAGGAATGGGCTGCTAAGAAGAATGGCTGTGAGATGGTTTGTTGACAGGAGACGCTTCTTCCCAAAGCAAGCAGTGCTCCAGGTTGAACTGTGTGGTGAGGAGCGTTTGCATCCTTTCATTATCCGGTCCAAAGCCATTCCCCACAGCAGTGGTTTGTGTTTTCATGCGAGCGTCTGCTTCCTACCAAACTTTTGGTGTCAGTGACATCCTGCGGTGTAGGGCTGTATGGATCTGTATCTGAGTCTGGGGTGATTTTCGGGGCAGGGCTCCTGTCTGCTTTAGCTTATCTGCATTTATCTGAGGAGGAATTATTCCTGTGAGCATTTGGTGTGCTTGCTGCCCAGACAGAGCCCGTTTGTTCCAACAACCACAGAAACAAACGTTTCAGCAGTAGGTGTAACAAGCTGCACGTTAATCTTTTTAAAGGTGAAAAATATGCAACAAGGTCTTCTCTGCTGTGCTTCGTGGAGGTTTATGAAGTGGGGAGCCAACACCTTCAGCAGGAGTACATCATTACAGCGTGCCAGGAATCAAATCCCATGTCTTAGGTAGCTTATATTTCTGGAATTGTAATAAATGAATAAATACATACAGAAGGCAGGCAAGGGTTTGTCCAGCCTGGTGGTGTCGCCTCTTGTGTTGCAACTTGACTTTCGGAGGCCATACAGCAGTTGTGAAATCTCACTTCAGCATACATGGGAAACCATTTGTTTGCTATTGCTGCATTAGAAAAGAATAGGAGAGGCTCAGCTGGCTGGATCATTATAAGGCACCAGTGGGTATTGAATGGCTTAGTCCTCTCCTTCGTGTTCTTATGCTGTAAATCATTTATTGGGAAGTTGGGTACGTCTGAGTCCAGCCAGTGCGTAACTATTTCTGATATAAATGGACTGTTTGGAGTGAAACAACTCCTGAAGAATAGAAATGAAAACTGTTTTCAGCTTCACAGGCTTATATGGCACTGTAATCCTCTGGCTGTAAATAGCTCTACTGATGGAAATAGGAAGGTATGAAAAATCAAAGCACTGGGCTGGAACGTAAAATCGCGTGGATGTTCTGGTTCTGTACGATGTTAAGCAAGCCACTTCAGCTCTGTTAATCTCTCTGGTTCAATTCCTCCCACAGAGAACAGTGTGCTCGTTCTTTACAGGCATCTTCAAGCCAACATCATGACTTTTGTGAGGTAAGCAGCCGATGGGCTGAATAACACCCCAGACACTAAGCTGAGACTCATCCCAAAGACAGATCAGAGGTTCGTGGCATTAACACGCGTGAGATTGTCAAGGGGGATCTTGAGGGATGTCAAAGAACAAAATCACCATCGGTCTCATTACAGGGCCAGATGAAAGTCTCCCTGGCGTGCAGCTTCTAGCGTGCAAAAGACGAGAGGATCACCAGCCTGAAGCAAGGTACAACAGCCACGTTCGGGTAGGACTGAGATGATAGAGAAGGGTTTAGGATTACCATCAAACAAGTATGTCACATGTAAATATTCTCTGTTTGCAAACAAATGGCTCTTGTGCACTAACCAAGGCCAGGGTGTAGATTGTTGCTGATAATAAGTAAGTTTTTTGGTGCTGTTGTTGTTGTGATAACAGAACAGGCGTTTCTGCAGAACGATATGGCTGATTTATTCTGTCACAAAACTCAGTCTTCTGTGTTACCCCTAGAGGCCAGGTAGAAAGCAATAAATGAACAGAGGACAGAAAAATGCAATCGTGGGGAAATGGGGTTTGGGTGGCAGAGTGGCCAAGCATCCCATTCTTTTGGGTTGGAACCCTGCGGAGTTTATTGACCGTTACTCAAACCTCGGATTGGTTTTGATAGGACCCTGAAAAAAAAAAGAGAATGGGAGTGTGTGGCAAAAGAGTGCTTTTCCAGGCTTTTAAACAGATAGGATGGAGATGGAAGGGGTGGCTTGTGTTGCACAGAGGGGGGAAAGATGTGAATTTGGCTTGGCTGGCCTGAGGGGGGGGTGAGATCCAGGTTTGCATCACACCTGCTAACAGAGCTCAGCCATGCCCCAGGGGCTGCGTCCCACCTCCCAGTCACGGTGCATTTATCCCACTGGGGAACAGTGCAGAGGAGGTTGGTAGTTTCCTATAGATTATAGATGCTATCTATGCTAACTACCCCTGCCAACGAATCGGATGCTGAAATGCTGTATTTGGAAAGCTGTTTATTAACTTCGGCTTTTAAATTCTTCTTAGAGTGCACAAACGCAGGATCAGATACTGCAGGCATAAATTTCTCCTCCAGATGCTGTGGGCTAGATTTGTCCCAGCTGACAACGTGCGTCTGGAAGCTCCAGCTCCAGCAAGGGAGAGAAGAAAAGGAAAAAGGCAGCTCAGAAGCACAGCCAAGAGCATAATCAAACTGCAAACTGCAGAAACCCTTGCAGGATAAATCAGTCCTCTGCAACTAAAGGTTTCCAAGGTTTCGCTCGAGTTAGCCGTGAGGAGAAGTCATTTCTTAGGGGAATTCTTCTGCCAGTTAGGTTAATTAACATGATAATGTGTTGTTTCATTAGCTACATCTTTCATGGGAAATATGAGTGCTTCCTTCATAACAAGGAGAAAACATCTCCCTTGTTTTTCTTTTTTTCACAACAACGCCGCTGAGAATTCATGGAAAACTTGCTTGAAAGGAGCTAAAAATGCTAGGTAGAAAGTCACTGTTTGGCTTTGTTGTAAGTGCTGTTAGCAGTCAGTCCTAATGCTCAGCCCTAATCATGTAAACCCTTTCTGCACATCCCACAACAATTTCAGGTTTCAAGGTTATGTCGTGGAAGAGGCTCCACTTGTCAGCATCCCCTGTGCAGGGAAGGGGAAGCAGGAATTTTTGTCAGCTTTGAGAATGGAATTTCTACCTCACTGATCTGGGAGTGAATACCAGCAGAGCTGATGTGTGCTGAGATCGTTGGGTTTTCAGTCACGGTACCCCTGAAAAGATGTAGGAATTCAAGGATAGGTGGATGGGGCTCTGGGCAGCCTGAACTGGTGGTTGCATCCTTGGTTGGAGCCGCCTGATCTTTAAGGTCCCTTCCAACTGAAGCCATTCTATGATTTTATGAATCCAGCTGTGGGCCTGTGCTATTACTAGCCTGCATAGCAGGGCAGTGGAGTTCTGGGCAGATTCTTTGTTAGTTTCTGGAATTACTCCTTGTGCCAAGACTAGACGGTGGTGGGATCCACGCTGCTGTTTTCAAAGCTAAAGATATGATCAGCTCTTGTGGATTCACCAGCGAAACCACGGCTGTGTCCTGCAGAAAGTCCCTGCACCTCTTTGTGCCTTAGGCTGCCCCTGAGTGCACGTCGCATCCTTCCCTCGGGAAAGCGATTGCCAACCCACTCGAGGTGCCGCTGCTGCAGGCGAGGTGACCCAGGTGGGTTTCGGATACATAATCGAATTTCTCATTCAACAGGTTGACAAACAGTCCTGCAGTATTTCTCAGCACCGAACCGGTAGCTCCACATCACGCCAACATTCGGGGCGCCGGGGAGGAGCACGAGGTGGAGCAGGAGCACCAGATCGGAGCCCACGCTCGGTAAATAATCGATTCTTTGTTCCAGACAGCAGCGGGGAGGCTGAGTGCCCCCAGAGAGGCCACCTCGGCACAGGGCTGAGGCCCGGCCGGCCGCTCCCCACGGAGGACACACCTGTTGGGGGCCAGCGGCCGCAGATTGGCTGGGCGCAAGGAATGCACCTGCGCAGGGAGGGGTGAAGGACTACATGTAAGACGAGCCCGTAGACACTCGCCGTCTCTTCTCAATTCCAGCTTAAACAAGCAGCAGAGCTCTGGGCTGCGAAGAAAGCCACGCGTGGTTTAATCCTTTTTTGCTTTCCTTTTTTTTTTTTTTTTTTTTTTTAATTTGGTTAGGTTTCGGTAGGCTGATACCATTTTGAGTTGTGTTGGTTTTTTTGTTTTGTTTTGTTCTGTTTTCAGGTTTAGTTCTATTTTATTGTTATTATTTTTTTCCTCCGTTCGCTGCGAACGCCTCTCGCTTCGAGTTCGTCTCTTCCAGGACACCGGGAAGATCAGAAGATGATGAAAGCCCTGCCCTGCACCCGCGATGCTCACTGCGCCCCTTTGGTTGCCCTCTCGAAGGCTGGTGATCTTGGTTTGGGAAAAGGTGCTGTGCGTTCAGCGCCGAAGTTGCATGAATGCTGTGTGTTCATGGTACTGGTAAGCCACGGTGTCCAGGTGCTGTGGTAGCAATGATCTGAGTAGCATGCGGCATGACTTCTGCAGTGCTTTTCCTACCTGTGTTCGTCCTCTCCACTTTTTCGCAGGGCTCTGTCCTCTTTTCTCTTCCTCCTTTTCTCCCCAGGTGGATTAAAGAGGGTTTTGTTGTCGGGATCAGGTTTTGTCTGCTCGGTTCTGGGGGAGGGGGAGCGGCGCATGAATCCAGCGTTCATTTTCCAACCAGCCAAACCAGTCAGGGCAGGCAGAGCAGAACCAAGAAACCAAATAGGAGGGAGCCATGGGGGAAAGCCAGTTTCACCCAGGTGTCCTGGAGAGCTTGGAAAAAAGACTCCATTTGAGAAGGCTTACGGGAACTGAAAAGCGATGGTGTAAAACCAGAGAGGTCCATCCAAGCAGGCTCACTGCATTTCAACGAGGACCCAGCTTGGGCAGTGCTAACGGTGACCTTTGAAATGCAGCACGCTCTGGGCTCCTTTTCCTTTTCTTTGCGGCGATTGCCATTTTTCAGTTTGATTCTAAACCATCTGCCATCTTAATGTCCTTTATTGCATTTACAAAACGCCCGACCCTCTTGTTTTAGCCGTATGTGTGTTGGTTCTTGGGAGCCAGAATTAATTCCTCAGCTTCTGCGCTGCAAGTGAAGGAAGGAGATTTGGAACTTTGCAGACCACCTCGTCGAGGTGGAAGGAAAGGGAAGGTCTGTCTCTGCCTCACCCATCGGTTTCCGCTCACGGCACAGAGGAGCCATTTTAGGTTCGTTTTGTTTATTCTTTTCTTACCCGAGGCTTTGTCGTGTGTGCGTGCACGACCAAACGAGCACCATTAGGGCTCCTCGCTCTTGCTGCAGAGGGCCTGGTGCCAGCCCAACCAGCCCCTGCTTGCGCTGCCTGCTCGGACACCGGGGAGCAGGAGACAAAACAAAGCTCTTGGCTGCCTGGTGAGGCGCGAGCTTGCTCGTGGGCTGCTCCCACAGACAGGAAGATGGAGGCCCCCAAAAAGCTCCTTTTTGACTCGTCGTTGGGCTGGCAGCTGGCGGGCGACGCTGTTGACGTGGTAGATTTGGATGAGGAGAGAGAGGTGTGTTGTAAGCAAGCAGGCTCCGTGTGCAATGCAGCCGCCCGGTTCAGGAAGAGGCGCTGGGCTGGCTTTGCAGACACTTTGCAGTCAGCAGAAAATGTTTGCTCACGCGGTCCCTCCACCCCTCCAGTCAAACGGCCTTCGAGAAGGTTCTGTGAGGCACCGAGCCGGGCCAGCCAGTGCCAGGGGATGGGGCTTGACCGAGCCAGGGAGCTGAGCCCACTCTGATTGAATGCTGCCAGATTGGATTGGTTTCTAAAAGGTCTTTAATTTCTGGAAAATTTCGTCAAAATTGCAGGAAATGCTGCCTGGTAACTTACCCCTCTGTTTCACTGAGGCTAATTCTTGACTTTTATTTTTTCTTCTTGCCTATATCTTCTCCTTGTAATTGCAAATATTACCTAAATCATATTCCTTCCAAAGAAAAAGTTAGAGGGCTTTGCTTTGTTCTAGGCTGCTCTGACAGAAGATTAGTTTGTGCTTGCTGGAGACTCAGGGAACAGCATTACGACTGAAAAAAATCATGCCATATTTATGCACAAATACCAAGCCAGATATGAGCTTTTATCCGTTTCCTATTTACTTTTCAAATTCAGTACCACTCTCAGTCCTTTTAATTGGTTTGGATCCCTTTTTTAATTTAGCTGGCATTGCGGCTCAGCCCCCACGCGGAGGTGGAGGTGGTACGTGCAAGCCTTCTGCAAGCACCTTCACTCGTGGGCGTCTTAAGGGCTCTCAAAATTAATTAATTGAATCACTGAATTATTAGAACTCATTACTGAATGAGAATCTGAGCTCCTAAAAGGCACCGTTTGACATACGGGCAACTAAATGGAAGCAACTAAAAGAAAAGCAAAGGAATGCCAGGATTTGGGAAAATATTAGCTACATTCTGAATTCGATCACCTCCTCCCATCCTGCCCTACAAGCAGTGAGCCTGGTGAAGGCATAGTAAGTTCTCAGAATAATTCCATTACTCGCCATTACGATCACGGCTGTATTAGCACATTTCAGGAATGCTAGCAGTCAGAACATACAAATCTGGCACCCGAGAGCTGGGGCTGGCCAGCAGCAATCTCCATCTGCCAGACAAAGTGATGCCATACAGTATTTCCAAAAGATCAGGGGCTCAGTGCTCCTCCTGCCCTTGTTAACACCCACTGCAATGCTGCTCTGTGCGTGGAATGAGAGCTCAGAGGGCTCTGGGTCCCGCAGCTGGCCTGACCTGCTGACACAGATTCACCAACGCAGGCTGCTGTATAAAAATGGAGCTAAGCTTCATTTCAGAATGAAAAGAAAAATCGTCCCCAGAACACTGCTTTTAATTTAAACAGGCCCAAAGTGAATGAAAGGGCACATTAAAATAAACTTATATGACCACATACCAGCTGATGGTAGCATTTTGAAGTCGCTTCCATGAGATAGCCGTAACACTGTAAGAACTCTCCTAGGCTTTCCCTTTTGTGCAGAGGTTTGCTCATGTAGGAAACAGGGTTTTCTTCCTGTCCTTAATCTGGGAAGAAAAAAAAAAAGGAGAAAGTGATAATTTTCTACATTTCTAACAGAATAAAGCATGTAATGGGATTTCAAATTGAAAAGGGAAAAAAAAAAAAAAGCAAACTGGACGTAAAATATGAGCGCAATCAGATGTTAATTCGTGAGACGTTTTGTTTGCAAAACGAGTTCATTAGAATGTCCTTACCATATTTCGGGCAGGGGAAAGTGGCCTGAGGAAATCACATTTTACAATCGGGACGTGCAGTTTGCATTCATTAGTTTTCCTTTTAAAACTGTCGTTCAGAGTCTGATAAGTCAGCATTAGAGGCTTACTTTTGTATTTTAATCTGTGGTGGCGGCGGAAGGAATGGCGATCAATAAGCCAAGTGAGCTCCTGAAACAACTTGGATCGTGCTGATGCGTTTCAGCTCCCAGCTAAGCCTGGCTGTCCTTTCCAGCTCCAGGTACAGCTTTTATCTGATGGAGCTCGAGATATAAAGGCTTAAGTTTCACATGCTTTGTTCTTTTCATCGTCCGTGCCTATTGATTAAGGCTCACCCTGCAGGTTAACCAACAAGTAATTTTTCCCCCCACTGGAGCTGCATTCCTTTCCGGACCTGCAGCTGCCCGGGCAAAGCCGGGCACCTCCGTGTCCCCCCTGGCATATCTGATACCCGATTAATGGATACCCCATTGTTTTAGGGCTGGGGGAACTTTGAGAAGCAAGTGGGGGAGGCGGTAGGAAGCAGAAAAGGGGAGGAGAAATAGAGGTAATGCAGGTACAAACCTAATTGCTCCTGATGTGTTAAAAAAAAAAAAAGGGGGTGGGGTTCTCTTAAGTTTCTTGTTTTCCACTCCTCTTCAGTCATTCTTTCCTTTTTTTCTCAAGGCCTGAACATTGGTAATAGTGGTGATGATTAACTAAATGAAGTCGGTAACCTGGGCGACCATGAGGGTGGTTTTATATTTCATGGGTACCGCATAGCCGGAGGAAGCACTCTACCGAGGGCTCAGGAGAACGCGATGGGGCGTTTGGGGTTTTTTGGTGCTGGTTTGGATTTTTGTTTTGGGCTCCTCTTCGGATTGCGCCGCGTTGCTTTGCGTCTTGCTCCCGCCTGTTTCACGACGGTAAGGTCCAGCCGCCTTCCTCCGCGCTTCCCTTCCGCTCCCACCTCGCTCCTTCCTTCTCTTCACGACCTGTTGCTTCTGAAAGATCCTGGCTATGAGCAAAGCGCTCGGGCCCACCCGGAAAATACTATCCATGAGAGAAGGAGGGAGGATTTATTTCTCAATAGATCAGATACACGGTAGATTAATCGCCTTGGAGATAGATTTATTTCTGATGATGCGTCTCAGGCTGGTCCTGCCTCTGCTGTTACGAGTCACTGCTATTCTCTCGGGACAAAGCATTTAATTTCGCACCACCACCACGTTGCCTCGAGTGCACTAAAGGCAGGCGTCGTCTTCTGCAGAGCAAGAAGTTCTCCTAACTCTCAGGAATTGCTTGTTGCACCGGCAGTGGTAATGTAAGCAGCAAGCTGCTGCGATGGCTCACACCATTATTTGGTAAATGTAAATAATTTATGTGCTCTGTAGGTACTAAGTAAGTCTTGCTAAAAGCAGACAAGAAAAACGAGCCGGAATTTATTAGCACCGTGCGAAGGAGGAGGCTATCAGTTCCTAACAAACTATTTCTATTTCGTGAACTAGACAGGAAAAAAATGCGTGGGATTTTGCATTTTGAGCTGGTCACGAAATCCCTGATTCTTCTGAAATTTGGGCCGTGCCTTTTGGGGGCTCTGGCCCCATAGCTGCTCCCTGCGAGCGCCGTGTTGGCTGGAGCAGATGGCTGTGGTGTGCATTCCAACCAGGGCCAACTGCTGGCAGCTCTTGTAGTAAAGAGAAAGAACTGTGAATGTTCTCTCTGTCCTGCAGACAGGTTGGCACACGCTGAAGTGAAGATCCAAGTGCGTTTATCAAAATATCACACAAAACTGCACTGAATCATTTCAGCCCGTTTTTATAAAACCATTTTCCTGACTCCTATTTGTTGCTATTAAACTTCTGCAGTAGCAGCTACTCCAGGCATTAAACCCACGATAAGGCGATAAGTTAATTTTGGGCTCTCAGATCTCTGATGATAAGAACTGTGTAACCTCTTTGGCTGTTTTGAATATCTTATGGATATACGTACATGGCCTTGAGTTTGATGCTGATCCTTTGACTGCCACTGCAGCCACAAAATCCCCACATTTTTACAAAGTGTATATTTCCTTTGAACTCGTTCTCTACAAATCACTTTTGAAACTTGTTTTCTACATAAAGTTTCTCTAATGGTTCTAAGGAGGAAAAGAAATGTATGCAGTATTGGGTAGAAGGAAATACAAGGATTGCTTTGCATCCCATTAGTGGCAGCTCTTGGGCAAACCAAGCAAACCAAACTACTGTTATTTTAATGGTGGTCTCGGAGATTATTTCACATTTTTTGTCTTCTACAGCATTAGATTTTCTTTTTTTCCCCACAGCACCTCCCACCTCCATCACACAGTGCCTATGAGCAGGTCATAAACGATAGAAAGTTTTAACAAGAAAATTCACCAACCGTTGTTGGGCTGATCAATGATTAACACCAGATCAAGGCATGAGGATTGTGCATTAGAACTACATTATGCAGCTAAGAAAACCGTGCCTTTCTGGTAGTCATCCAGGCATTGCCCAGCTTGTTTGTGAACGCTATGCAGGGCAGCAGAATTTCGTCGGCTGGGTTTTTGTCTGTTTAAGCCCGGGTGTGTTGTGCTGGTTGGCTCAATCTGCAGGTGTTTGGCTGTGGTGGAAGTGACCGCTGAGGATGTCAGCGTAGCACGGGGCGATGCGTGGTGACTGCGGTGCCTGCTGCTCCATTGGAAGTGCCACGTTGACAGAGTGTGCCGACAACGCATTCTGTTGATACGCTGCGCCCCAGCACAGTCTGTGTTTTTAGTAGAAACTGAGCTGGAGGACGTTGCAAAGAACATACGTAATGCAAGGACTTTCAGGATCCCAGCCTAAGGCATCACAGGACTTTGGAGAATAGACAGCAGGTATGAAAGAGGCGTGCAGGAAGGGCTGCATGGCTTCACAAGTCTGCTCCAAGTTCTGGCTGCATAATATTGCCCCTTAGTAGTACTGGGAGTCGAATCCTGCTCGGGGCCGACATTCCTGATGTGGAATGAATAAATAGTAGAAGAGCTGGCATGTCAAGAAAAGGATTTTAATTAAAAAATATTTTCCCATTCTTAAACGGAGAAGTAGGAAATCAAATAGTGCACTGGGGCTTTTCACTCCTCCACGGCAATCCAAACTGGTATTATGTCTTTTACCTTGTGCAAAGGGAATTGGTTGATCCAGTTGTGTTTCTTTAAGGATAGGTAACTCACAGCAGCACTGCCCTCACAGACTTCTTAACCTTTTGTTTGCAATTGCAAAAAGGAGGGTAAGAAATGAGGGAGCTTTGAATGAAGGGGGAAAGCCAGAGCTCTCCCCAGTCCTTGGAGAAGTGCCCGAACACCTCACTGCTATCTCCGCCGTGCCATTGCCCCCCTCACACACCTTGCTCCTGTGGCCCTGAACACATCCAATGCACTCACCTTGCTTTACGGAAGAAACTTTGACCTTCTGAGCTGCATTAGTGAAAGGGCAGTTCTAGTGAGAGCTGGAGATAAGCTGAGAGCTAGTTTGGCCTCAAGGAGCTTTTTTTTTTTCCTTATTGGGAAACGTGTCAAAGTCAGGAGGGTGAAAAAGGCTTTAAAAGAAGTGGCCTTGAAAAAATTCCTCATTTCCTGTCCCTTCAGACTTTCCTCTTTGCTTACACTGTTGTGGAGAGACCCATCCCTCTTCATTCTGGATGTGCTCCGTCTCTGGCAAGCAGGAGGGATGTGGGAGCTGACATAATGCCACTCCCCAGGTTCCATCGACACCAGTTTGTACATCTGGCTACTCAAAGAGGTGTCCTGTTGAATCTCTTGGCGAGATTTGGACTTTATACTTTTTGAGGAACTCATTCATGGCATTTTTGTGCACATCTTCTGGCTTGAACACGTGCCTCACTCAGCGTAACGCCTCTGAGATTGTTGGAAGCTTTCAGCTGTAAGAAACAGGCTTGGGAGAGATCCACCGAGCCCAGGAGCACTGAGTCGTTAGCTCAGAATTTCTGGTATATCTCTTGTGCAGTTTTGCTGTTGGAATCACAATATGTTACCTCGTGGCTGGGCCACAGATGAAAATCTTCTGGATCAGGTTAAAACATCCCTGGAACCTTCCGAAAATGACAGGATCGCACCAATGTCCTTTCCTGCTGGGTTGATTCCCAGAGCATCATAAATGAAATGCTGCCTGACTGGAGTTGTCCTAATGGCATCTGCAGATGGCATCAGAAACACAAAGCAGGGCTGGCAAAGGCCACCGAGGCTGATGCAGAGTGAGAGGGGTGGACTGGGGCCTTTTCCAGCTGAGCGCAGACAATCTGCAAGGATCTCACCATTGTGTGTAAATTCCAATATGTGATTCCATCCTTCCCTCTGAAATGATAAGACACATCACATAACAGTGCATATTCGTGCTCACGAGCTTTGAGTCTGATTATCGATCCCTTTCCTTCTCTGAGCAGTTCGTGAAATCAATGCCATTGAGTTTTTTCCCCCCCTAATTATAACTAAGCGTCAGTTCTCTAAACTGCGGTCATTCAAGACAATTTTTGCTCTAATATCAAACAAGCACAGTTTTGATGCACAGCAACCAGATCTGTTAACACAGCCTAAGGTTTTGTTGTCTGGAAATCCTCCATTCTAACTATGACATCTAGGCTGCTTCAGACAAAGAGCTATTGTTCAGTTCCTCTTGTTGACTTTCTCCACACCGTGTTATCGAAGCAGAAAAGACACTTTCTTTTGTAATGGTTAAGAAGAGCACATCTGTTTGCTGGCTGCCTCAGGGAAGCTTTACCTTTCCTGACACCTAATCGTGCTGCCTTGTTAGAAATAACAGAAAAAAATAAGCACAAAATGAAAAAGCGATCCCAACCTTCCTCCATTCCCCCAAATTCTTCAGCAGCAATTTTTTAGCAATTCCTAGAAAGTCAAAATGGAAGAGGGAACCACAGATGTAATCGTATTCAAATGCCAATACAGGGGCACGACCTACAGAACAAGACTCGAGAAGTTGTGCAGGGCAGTCTCAGGTTAAAGCTCTTGTAATGCAACTTGTTTGCATCAGACTTCGACTTGACTTTCTCTTAAAAACACCCTGAGGAGATGTTAAAGGAGCTACAGTGCAGTGACCCACCTGTAAAGTCAGCTGATGTACAGAAAGACGTGACAGATGGACGCATCTTAAACTGATGCCAGTTGCCACAGTGGCTTCCTCGATCATTTCATCATGTTTTGGTCCAGCTGTTCTTCTCTTCATTTTCACCACCTTTCTGTTCTGATGTCCGGTGGTTGCGGTGCTGCTGCGAGGCTGGGAATGGCTCTCACCTTCCCGAGGCTTTGAGATCCCTGGCAGGTTTCAAAACGCAGTGGAAGGTGGTTTGTCGTGGCTTTGCAAAGGTATTCAATGCCAACGCTGAGCCTCTTTGTGCTGAAGAAGCACGATAGTGGTGGTGCATTTGGCTGCTGCAGAGATCTTGCTTGAGAACTCGGTGTGTTTTTTAACACTCGCCTGCGTTGTATTACCGCACCACTATAAAACTCTACACCTGGAAAGATCTCGTGAGCAGGGAGAGGACGGAAGCTCTCTCAGTGTTTAAAGCAATATGGTTTCCTTGTAATAACTGTGCTCGGTAAGGCCTTTGGATTTCCTAAGAGAAACAAACCTGATTAAAAGGTGACTGAAAGAATCAGCAAACGTTAATTGCGTAATAAAAACGTAGATAAAGCTTGCACAGTTGGAGGTACTGGAAAAAAGGTAAGAGTTACATATGCCTGAGGTTGTAAGGTTGCGTTGCTTCCTGGATTTTGCTTTTCCCCACCTTTTTAATTTGCTGTAGCAGCGAGGGCTCTGACTGCCCAGCCCTCAAATGCCACCTTGTGACAGTTGGCAGCTGATGGGCGAGGGCCATTAGGTGCAAATAGAATGAGGACTCTTCTTGGTAAGTGACAGCATTTGATAATTGAGAAGATCCCAAACGAAGGACAGCTGTAGGTTGTATTCTTTTTTGTTTGTTTGCTTGTTTTCCCTTTCTCTTTTTTCTTCTCCAAACAGCGAGGCTTTCTAGCTTGTGCTGTATCTGCTGCTTGCAGACCATGATCCTGAGATGCCATTACCATCTTACTGGGCAGCATTGGATGTTCTCTGTTTTTCTAATACTGCCTGGTAATGATGATTATGGTGTTTCGTGTACAACGTGGAAAAGTTCAACAGCGAATTTGGAAGCAGAGGTCAGTGGCCAATAGAGAAACCCAAGTGTGATTTACTGCCCACAGCTGGGGAGATCTGACAAATTTATGGTGAAATGCTTCAGGTTATAGAAGAAGGGGTAAAAGCAAGTATAAGAAAGTCATCTTCCTGTAGAATTAGGAATCTCAGAGTGAGCCTGGGAACAGAAAATCATGCAGAATACAGAGCATAGCACGTGTTTGATGTTGCAATGATAGAATACATTCACATGAAAATGCTGAGCGTTGTAGCATTCGGAGAAATGCAAGTGCTCTTCTCCAATTGTGTTCTATTTACTTCCGAGCCATGTTAGCTTTCCAGAGAACAAAAGCAAACACTTAATGAAAATTACCGTTTGAGTTTTCTAGTTTATAATTTTCCCTCCAAACCAAAACATTTTTCTAATCTAAATATAAGGCAATTTAAGGAACAGACAGCTGGAATCAACAGCGGAGTTCAGTTTTTCAGCCTTGCTATTATCATTTGCTCTGTCCTTTTCACATCAGCTCCTCTAGGCTTCTCTCCTCCAGTCGAATGCTCCAATAGCAAAACCATTTGTTTTAAAGCCTTCAGCTTATAAGTAACGTTTTTTTATTTTTATATATTATATATATTTATACATCATATATTTTTTTAATGCCAATTTCTAACTTCCTGGTGAAAAAGTGGGGCTGTTTTAAGTACCATTCTCCCTGATTATTTCCATTATTTTGGTGGACTAACTTAACAATCTGTTTTAAGACAGGGTGGACCTGACTCTTACTCTGCTATTTCTTTCCATAAATCGATGACACTGCTTAAAGCCATTTGGAAAGAACTAGCTCAGTCTAAAAGAACTTACTGTGAGAATGTTGTCTTCAGTGGTTCACAGACGCTTTTTGTTTCTTCCTGAGAATTCAGGCAATACAGGAAGCTTTACTCCCCCAGTTATCAGATATTGGAGGCGCAGCATGAAAGCTATCGCCAAGGAAGGACAGCACTGCTGATAGGTGCTTTTGTCGGACACGAGGTGCTGTGGGCAGGTGTGTCAGCGTCCCTGGCAGGTAGGAAGCACTCCAGAACACAGCAGCCCCACACATCCCCAGGCTCCTTACAGCTCCTGGCGTGCTGTGGTGTTTAGATCCTAGCACAGAAGGCTGCTTGGTTTGTGAACGCCTATTGGAGTGCAAAGCCATCCACAGACACACAGCCCGGGTGAGACGTGCTGTGTGACAGCTCAGATCTATGTAAAGCTTGCACGTACTGTGCGAAATGCTGCTACTGTGTGAAACGCTGTGCTAGGGCCACAAAGGCTTGCAGGTACCTCAGGGCTATGATAAATATGCATGCAGCAGAGCAGCACGGCTCAAAGCAAAGCACTCCTGCTATCGAACCACAGTGCCTGAGAGGTATAGCCAGCTCCAAGGGGACAGGGAAGGAGCAAACCCTGCTGCCCCTCCGGCAGGGGGAGAGGGTCAGCAACAGCCAGAACCCCAGCATCCCTACCACGACACAGAGCTCTTAGGTGAGGGAACGCCTCATGGCTCAGATCTGGGCCAGATTTCTGCTACAGCAAACTTCTGGAAACAATAACATGAAGCAAAGCAGGCAGCTACCCTTCATCTTCATCATTAGCATTCATTGTGCTTAATTACACCACCAACAATTGCAAACCTAAGAGTCCTGTCACTTTGATTTAAGATTCAAATTTGTCTGCATCCCTTCAAGTCACGCCGTACAATAAAGGATCATCAATGAACTGCATTGAACACTGGCCCATCTCTGACACTTTTTTGTGCCTTTCTTAGTGCTGATTTGTTTGTACACCAGATTTCAGTTTGTCATTTTAACTGATTGGAATGACTTGGAGTGCTGGTATTTCTGTGAAACAAAAGGGAGAAGGGGATGAGGAAACTGAGAAACCAAAGGAAGGAAATCTGCCTGCTCTTACACTGTAATGAAACAGGACCTAATCTTGTGTTTCTATTTTAGATTTTTAGTACAACAACTTTCTGCACCATCTTTGTCTCCTGAAATCCACCACGAACTTCAAATTATCTTTTAGTACCTAACATCTTCCTTCTGTCCATCTCCTACCTGGTAAATTACTGACAAGCCAGGTGATGTAAGGCAATCTTTCTCAAGCCACTTTCATTAGTTTTTACGGACCACTGACATCCTGAAGAATGTGGAATCATTAAAATAGATGCTCCATTTCTCCAGCTGCTGGACAGACAATGGTCCTCTGTGGGCATCTTACTAGACAGTGCTGGATTTCTTGGATCTATTCTAACACTGTCTGGTAACGATGTTTAAAGGGTGAACCAAACAACACCATGCATCAGGAGGAGTTCTCAAAGAAAGACACTGTGCCACAATTTAGGTCGAATTGGAACATTTGGCCAAGAGGGTAAGGATGTTGGCTATCGTATTAGTGAGTATTTTTAGACTTCTGAAATGGTTATGATCATAAATACTTATGACAAAGAAGCTGCTGCAAACCATCCTGCTGGGTGCTCCTACTGCAGTAAAGGAGGTGAGAAGCACGCCAGCTCTAGCATCCAAATGCACACCTCCTCAGAGGCACAGCACTGCACAATCCCTCCAAACAGTGGGGTTAGGGCTGTAGGGTATTTGCAGGGCCCAGCTCTTGTCCAGGGGACTGACAGATTTGCTAGCAGCCAGCCGTGCTTGGCTGTGAGAGGTGCTCAGGGCAGGACGCTGGTGGTAAAGGTCGTTCTTCCCAATTACAGTTCAATTACTTCCACGGCTGAACAGCCTGTGAACTTTCAACCTTCTAACCTGCCCCCATACAGGCAGCGCTGGCAGCATATGGAGCAGGTGGGTTAATCACTCTAATCATCCCATTAAGAAACAAAGCAATTTAACCCAGGCAAGGAACTGAATGCTTACCCTGCTCTACCTAACCAAGCAGAGGGACATGAACACATGTCACAGCCAATGTGAGTTAATGGTACCGCAAGAACACGTGCTGATGTGCAGCCTCGTATCTCTGCTTGGGTCCTGCCTTGACACCCTTAGTTGTACCAGTATGATGGGGCAACTGGACTGGGGCCGCTCAAAAATGAAATTCAGGCTGCACTCAACACAGAGAGAAGGTGAGTCTAAAGTCTGGAGCTGCCCAGACCTCAGGATCATATCCCATATGATCCTTCCACATTTAAAGCTCTGGTTTCCTTTGGAAGAGGATTATCTAGAGCAGTAGAGTTAACAAACCAGAAACTGTGATATAATTCAAATCTGGATGAAAATTGGAGCATGGTCGACCTTCAGAGAATAAGAATTCACATCGGGCCTCATTAACAGGGCACTGTATGAGCTGACACTCACCTTTGCACAAGGATGGTTGGTGCCTCTCAAATTCTGGGGTTCCTGGGGACCCGCCCTGGTGTGGGACAGTGCACAGACCTCATGCTGGTTTTTCAGAATTGCACCCACTGGTTTTCAGCTCCCTTCTGTAAGAAACATAGGGCAACATTACACACAAGCTTGGACCGTGCTTCTCCCCCCAGTGCTTTACATAGGCTCGCAGGACTGCTCTATGCTGGAATCACAGCACTGAAACCTTTTCCTCATCCTCAGCTTAGTGCTAATCCCTTCCCTCCCTCCTGGATAAAACAGGTACAGCAGCCCAGAGGCACGCAAGCGAAAAACTCCCCAACCTTTCCTTCCCATGCCTTTCCAACCCTGTCCAGTGCAATGCCATACAAAAACTGCCATGTAACACAGGAACAGCAGAAAAACAAACCAAAGGCAGCTCCCACAGAGCTGCTCTTGCCTTTGCACGTTGCAGTTCTCAGGAAAACGAGAGCAGGAGGGAGCAGAGGAGCATTCTTTGGTGATTAGCCTCTGTGTGACTTATTAACTGGCTCACAAGGGATTGAGGAAATGGTGTGAAATTTGAGTGGTTCTGCAAATTAGCTTTTAACAAGCATTTAAATAAGATGAATTGGAACACGCACCCAACTCCCATCCAACTTCTCTTCTTAAAACTCAATATGGATGCTAACCTTGGATGGATTAAAAAAAAAAAAAAAAAAGATGATAACAATAATTGGGCATCCCTGGCACGCACAGGGATGTCACCTTAAGTTAATAAAAAAGGAATGGAACCAAGGAAATTCCCTTGCCCTCCCCCAGGCTGATTTATGCTTAGGAAAGCGTCCGCTCAGCCTTATCTAGGCAAGAACAGTGAGTCATGGGAGTCAGGAGCAACCCAGCGAAATCCCCTCGGCCTCAATATCTTCCCCTCCCTCCCCATCTCCCACCAACGTTCAGTTTGCTTAGCTCAGTTCCACAGCAGAGCGATTCCATGGGCAGCACTGATGCTCACTGCAGTGGAAGAGCTAAGACCCGGCCTGCATTAGGCTGAACTCCGTCTGGGGGTTTAATATCGATGAGAGCACAGCTGTGGGGTGCAGCTGAACCACATCTGCATCCCTGCTGGGTGACGGAGCTGCAGGACACGGGGATGGTGAGAGCCTCACAGCAATGTGGACGCGGAGGATGCAGCCGGCGGTAAGTTCAGCAAGTACTGTACAGTATTTTTTAGTTCTCATGCCAGAGAACTGCAAACAGTTGTGTTCTCACGATCGTACTGCCTGTACTTCAAGTTAAATATTTACTGGTTACTGATGTGTCTACGGGAGAGGCCCTCAGCCTTTCCCCGCCCCATCACTTTAGCCCTGGAGCTGGAAGAAGTGCTCTCACGTTGGTTTCCTTTAGCTTGAGCGCCTGCTGATTGCTGTCTTACCAGGCAAAGTTAGATCTAGCTATTTCTGTCTAATACTGTCTGGTAATGCCGTCAATCGCATCGGCAAAAGTCTTCGCCTTGAGAGAAACACGGAGAGAAAAGCTTGCTTGGGTCAGAAGAACCAAGGAGGTTTGGTGCCTGGGCTGGAGGCTCACCCACATGCACCGCTTCTGCTCACAGCCGAGGTGTGCTGTAACAACGTGCAGGGAGAGGAGGAAAGTCAAAGAGCATGCAGTCAGCACTCAGGCAGGGCGGGCAGGCAGGCAGGGCAGGCTCCTGTACAGCTAACTGTACGTTGGTGACTTTTGGACCTGTTATCAGGTCTCTCTGAAAGGCGATGGGCAGAGCTGCACCAACCCTGGAGCCTTTCTGAGAAAAGCCTTTCTCCAGGAAGGACAACCTGTGAGTGCATTGCTTGAGGACACAGTGAGCACAGCTGGGCTGAGCGCTCCCAGGCTCAGCACAGAAAACACCAGGAGGTGCTTCAGACATTTCTCTGGGTGACTTCAGGCCCTTTTGCCATCTGACTTCACTCTCTGTTTAAGCGGCTGCTTCTGTTAGGAAATCATTTGTTAAATGAGCAAAATTCCACGACAGATCAGTCCGTCGTGCTACTTCAGATAAGGGTTACTTAATTTTTATGCCGATAGAAAAGCTCTTCCTAAAAGTGCCGTTAAAAAAGGGGTCTGCAAAGCCCTCAGTTCAGCACATCTTCTGTTTGGGATGCAGTTAAGCTATAAGGTGAGCTTCCTGAAGGGTGCTCTGGTTCTCCTCCAGCCAAAATTCGCTCTGCCCCCAATGAGAGCAGCCATAAGCCGTGCCAGCAGCAGCATTTCAGAGCAGCACAGCAGGATGCACTCCCAACCCCACCTGAGCAGCACTCTGAGGCACGACAACGAGGATGGCACAGCTCTCTCAGTCAGCCCAGTCTCACTCAATGGTCAGGAATTTGCCATTAGGAAATCTCCTTACCCCGAACTGCTCAGACAGTGCAGATGGTATCTCCATCCTGCTTACCGTGACTCATGCTGGCAAGTCTCATTTTGCAGGGTACGAGTGATAGCCCTCTCCACAGCACAGCTCTTTCACAGGAACTTGTTGCTTCCTTTGATATATCGCAGCGTCTCCTCAAGACAATTTTATGCACTTGCAGTGCTATTCCTGATCTGCAGCTGCTGGACTCTTTGTTTTCCTTTCCTCTGTGTGCACTCCTCATCCAACACCTCTACATTTCAGAGGAGTTGGAGTTTCTTATCGAGGATCCCATTTCTGTTTCTCTCTGGTGCTCAAGCGCCCTTTTGGAGTTCAGGCATTTTCCTTGAAATGAAACAAGCCCGATTTCAGCAGCACTGCCCTTGGCTGGTTATCTTTAAAAGAACTGAAAACAAGAACTACCTCCCTCTTCACAAAATGGGTTCTTGGTAAGTTGGCAATAACAAAAACCAAACAACACAATGTCCTGGTTAGGTGGTTTCAAAGGGTGACTATGGACAGCACGTTCTCAAAGAGAATGAAGATACAGCTACAGTCCTTAATGCTCTAAATATGTTCACGTATTTATGTTACTAATTACTGTAATCACGATGATGAGTTTTTTATCATTAGAATCCACATGTGTGGATAAACACTCCAAGATTTTCTGCACAGAAGTAGGAATGAAAGTTTCACTGGCTGCTATCACATAAATGCAGGCGCATATCCTACGTGCCACTGAACTTGCTCTTTCAATGCCTTATAAGTTATGTTGTGTTTTTAAACTCTATGTTTAATAAAAGGCTTATTTGGAAACAATGGAGAATTGTGCTTCCCTCCCACCATGCATATGCACTGGTGATGCTTCCTCCTGCTGCTCATCACCGTGAAGAAGGGCTCAAGAACAGGCTGTGTTTGCTGTCACAAGGCCATGCAGAATGCCCTTCATCTCACCAGACCAACACACTGCACACATTGCAATCAAACTGCCGAGTATTACCTGCATGCTACATCGGGAAAACTCAGACACACACAGCAAATAACTTGTTCAGGCAACGGCAGGAGGAAAGAACCAAGAGACTTTGTTGTAGACTCCAAGTATTCAGGCGTCTCATTTGGCTTTAACTTACCAACATTAATGTTTAACGTACTGCCATGGCAATGCGTGCGCTTAAAAGAAAGTTCTGCATCTCCTTTCCCTTCCTTGTAATTAAGGATTTTAAAAGCAAGTGAAAGTAAAACAGGGATTTCTAAAAGGCAGCTGAGAAAAGGCAAAGAAAAAGCGTTAATTACCCCAACACTTTGCGTGAATCAAAACATTTAACTGGAAAAACAGCTTGAACTCTGCTAAATACTCTGTGACTCATCATGGAGCAATAAAAAAAAAAGTTCAGTTCGTTAAAAACAGCTCCTAGCAACCATCAGCACGGGGAAAGCCCAACCAACACCAAGCGCTGCTCTCGGTAGGGCACACGGGCATCTCAGAACCCAGAGCAGCCCCAGGCTCCCTGCAGGGTGCTGTTTGGATGCCCGGTGCCATTAATGCTCCATGCCCCCTTCAGGAGCTCTGCTGGGAGAAGCACTTTTCTTTTCCCTTTGTCAGTTTATTTCAGGTGGGTGGGGTGAGCTGCCAGGGCTGTAAATTTAACGAGCACCTCTTGGCACAACGGCTGCAATCCGAACTGATTCGGGAGCAAAGTTCAGGACTTTTACACTACAGAAACTCCAAGTGCATGATATGATTGTTTCGCTCACCTCAAGTAGATTCAAGCACAAGTTCCTTAAGAAATAACGCGCTTTCACCAAACTATCTGCCTTTTTCAAGACAACCGTGTTTTTTTTCCCCAAACCAGGTAGCACACAGGATCAAAACTACTCCTAAATTCAGGTTACAGTGCCCCTGGGGCCAGCAGGGCACACAGGGTGGGTCTGGAGGGACCAAAGGGTCTGATATGGAGAAAGGTTCCCCTTTAATCTCGGTGTCTGAAGGCAAATCACTTAATGGGCTGTGTTAAACCATTACCTGGATCCCTGCAATTGGAAGCCAACACTGGGGAGAGGCTGAGCAAACACTCTGGGGAGAGAAGCAGCCTCATTTGGATTGCTAATTTTATTTGCATACCAAACACCACTTTAAACAAACCCGTTTGGATTTCTGTGTGTGAGCCTAACTCGTTATTCACTATCTGCTATTTGATGACTGTGAGTCTACCCTTTCAATAAACACTTGCAGCATGCGAGAAAAAGCTCTGGCTACAGGGAGCCGTGAACAAAAGTGGGACACAAAGTTAAAAACACAGCGCTCAGCTCGCTGCCTCCTCCTTGGCCTTTATCTCCTTGAAACAGGGCTTGGAATCAGGGCTCTAGAACTGCTAGAAACAAAGGCACTGCCTGTAAATACAGACAACAGGCAAAAGACAAGAGAAAGCTTGAGCTGACTGCAGTAGAACGCTCAGCAAAAGGAGCCAGCACGTGTTTAACTCTTACCTAACAGCAACCGAGAAGTTGGGAGCTCCTGGGTCGGTGGAAACAGATGCTGAAAGTCATTTTTCTCCCAGCTCAGAGGTGAACAGCTACTCATGAAACCCACAGCCATTCCACACGGAGGCTATCCGCTCCCTTTGGCCTTTTATTGCTGTTTAGTGACCAGCTGAGCCCACCGTGGCCATCGACATGTCCAGCTGAGCTGATGGGGGCTAACTGAGCATCTTATTAAGATGCATAACAAGGGGATCTTCCTCATCTGAAGCTGCAAGAGGCAGGGTGAGCGGTTCCAAATGACCAGCTATGCCGAATAAATGCTTTCCGTGGTGAGAAAATAGAAATAGCTCTCAGCACGGCCCGTGGGATGGTCCTTGTGGTTTGTGCAAGTGGTGATTGACAACACGCATGAAAATTTGGCCCTGTCTGACGGTGTGAAGCAACTACTTTTGTAGCCCGCTTTGCGAGGAACTCACAGCAACAGATGGGGCCCTGTCAGGGTTTGAAGAGCTTCACAAGGCAGAGAGAGAAATAACCAGGCTGACACGGAGCCAACAGCAATCAGGTTGCCCCAACGCTCCGCTTTAAGGGCTTTTTTTTCATCTTGAAATGCTGTCCATCTTGAATTCTGTAGGAATTCTGGAAGTCATCTCTCCTGGAAGGAAACCAGCACTGTGCTCCTGCGATGGGTTCCTCCAGCTCCCACTGGTTTCTGTGAGTTACTGCCTGCTGCTGTTTCCTGGTTTTTCTTCTGGCACAATGTAAGGCAGGCAGGGTAAACAGGTGGCAGGTAAAAGGCTGATCGATACTGGGCTTTGTTGTGTGGCACAGAACAAAGGCTTTGCTCACAAAGGCTCCTATCCCTGGCACATAGCAGTGTCACCAAGCCTCAGGCTTTCAGTGGTTCTGTGGCCTTTCTGGGAGGTAGGAAGAAGTGCTGGAGGCTGGCCCTGGAACGAGGTCAACGCTGTGTTTCTGTATCACTGGGATAAAACGTTGGTTCGAGGCAGCAACACTGTCAGCAGTGGTGCAGAGCAGAAAGTAGGTGTGTTAGCAGAGTGCAGAAAAGCAAAGAGCTGTTCCTCCTGCCTGCACCACTCCTGCTTTTGTTCAAGCAGAACATTCACAGGGCTTACATGCAGCCTGGTGTCACTTTCGTCCCATGGCCACCAAACGCAGAGGGTCTGCAGCGTTACCAGCTGGTTCCCCTGAGCTGCAGAGCGAACATCCTGCCCTCAGCAAAGCACACTTCTCCTTCATTGCAAGCAGCCCTCTGCTTTGTTCTTCACAAAGCCATCTGCTACGCAGAGAGAGCTCCAACACAAGTGGATTTTGTGTGCCACTTGCAGCCAAGCACCTGCAGCAGCAAAGAGCATCCACAGCACGGCCAACTGGAAAAAAAAATGCAGTGGGCTCCCTGCGGTCTTCCCACAAAGGATCTGGCAGGTCTTCTGCAAGCCTGGGGACCAGGGTAGGTTGCAGGACCTTCCTCGGATGCTGTGCTCAGGAAAGGTCATGCCAATAAATGGGAAAAGCCAGGGAAACAGGAAAGGATTTCGTGTTTATCTGGGTGGGAGCTGGAGGTGTCTGGAGGGAAATGGCTGGAAGGTGCTCAGGTGGAACCCTCAGTCTATTTGTGGAAAAGGTGAGCAGACTGTGCCCTGTCTTCCTTGACGCCTACCAGCAAGTAATTGGCCAAAGTCACACACAAGAGCTGTTTGCTTTCCTTCTTTCCCACCTTTCTTTCTGCCGCTGCCACACCTCAGGGGCTGGATTTGGCTGGAGCCACCTGTCCCTTCTTAAATCACAGCTCTGAGTCAGAACAAGAGCAAGATGTCAGGAATGGGTCAGCGCAAACGCAAAGCAATAGCAATAAAGCAGAAGAGGAAGGTACATTTTCTAGGAAGTATTCCCAGTTTTCTCAGAACACCAACACAAAGCCAGCTGAAACCCAGGGAAGGTTCCCTGGGCTTTGAGCCAACCTCCTTTCCCCACAGTTGTAGAATCTGTCCCCTTCTGAACCACCGAGCTCACGCCTTTGCTGCTGCTCTCAAGCAAGACTGCAGGTGTTCAGCAGTCATGGAATCATAGATGTTGGAAAATGTTGGAAAAAACACTAAGGTCATCCAACTCTCAGCGCCGAAAGACGGCCCTGCTATGGAACTATAGAACCATTTAGACTGGAAAAAAAAAAACAACCCTTAAGATTATTAATTCCAACCATCAACCTAATGCTGTGATAAATCTGGAAGCGCTGTGCAGAGAATTCACCTACACAACATGAGTTCACATTCAGCAGCCAGCACGAGAGCTTGGATTGTCTTCTTCTCCCTCCACAGCTCTGCTAAGCATTCAGTCTGGGGTTAATCATTAATTCCCCCAAGTCTGCAGCCCACATGCCTGCTGTGCTGGGAGCTGGGAGCAAGGCAGGGCACAGCCTCACCTGTGCTTTGGTTTGGGGTGCGTGGCACAAGGATGCATTATTTAATAAACACGTCACAGTAGTTCACAATTATTCATTATTGTGAAAGTCTACAATACAGAAATACCTTTCCATCATACAGGTGAGAAGACCAAAGCTTGGAAGAGTTGTATGCATTTCTTACACCTCACGTTGGCTTCTCCTTTCTTGATGGTTCTGTAGCTCCTTGGCAAAGCACCGCTACTGCTCGAAAATAGCAATGAAACACTAGGAAGAAAAAAACAACAACAATAAAGACCATACAGATCAACCACATCTTGGCTCTATGGATACTCTGGGAATTGTTTTGTGTGCAAGAGCCTTGGGCAGCAGCCTCCCAAACGTTGTTTGCTATTCTGACCATCAGCATGCAGTGGCAAAGGGCGCTCGGTGCACGCAGCAGTGCATGAGTCACTCCCCAGGCAGCTCCAAAGGCAGGAGATCGCCCCCAATGGAGCCTGATCCCACGGCTCAGCACCTTCCCAGCAAGACAGCCTCAGGCCTGCACACCACAACCAGGAGCCAGGGGAGCTCCAAGCCTTCCCTCCTCAACTAGCTGTAGCTTTCCGCCCTCAGGTTGCATCCATTTATAGCAAGAAAAGCCCACAGCAGAGGGTTGGAACTGAATGATCTGTAAGATCCCTTCCAATCCATGCCAATCTGTGGGTCTATGACAAGTGTGACGTTACTGTAGCAATACTCACTGCCACGTTTGTGCATCGTGCACTCTGGCAGATGCAGCCATTGGGTGGTAATAGAGGAAGATGCAAAACCTCCAAGCTCTGCACTTGCCAGGATCGGTTCCCTGTCCTTCATGTGGTGCCCATAGGGTTTCCAGATTCCCAAAACCGAGGACTCAAATGCTGTTTATGTAGCAAATCACGGCACAGAAACTCCTTTGGCAGAAGAACTGCCTTGAATTAAACATGTGCAGTCTTAGCATAGCTAGAACCGTACCTGTGCCAGCGACACGCGTTCTTTTCTATTGCACATTAATTTTTGAGAGTGGTTTTCCACCATCACAGAGGATTATGCAGTCACTTTGGCTGTCATTTCTGGCGTTTAAGCCGATTGGGCAAGTTGTGCAGAACTCAGCAGATTTTGGAGGCATTGCATTCCTGCAGGCTGAGCGACAGCAGGGCTGAATGCCTCCAGCTTGCCCAAAGCAGCAGCCACAACTCCCCCTGCACTATGGTTAGCACTCTGGTCCAAACAGCAAAGAGCAGGAAAACAGGCCTCCAAAGTGCATTTCAAATCATCTGCGTTAGTCTCACAAAATACAGAGCATAAATAAATCCTCCAGGTTCCTCTGGTTATAACCTCTTAGTTCAGCGCCTCCTTCATTGCAGCCTCTCCCTTCCAACAGCGAGGCAACATTTCCTAGAGGGTGTAACGATGGTTGGAAGCATTGCAACACGTCCACCCTCCTGCTGCACATTGCTCCCTGGGTGACTGAGCTGGGTTGGATGCCAGAAGGAATACAGGAAGGTGGAAGAGACAGCCAGGACAGGACCCTGCCCTGCTCTGCGGGAGCTCCAGAGGCATTGTGTGCATGAGCAGGAAAATACAGAGAACGTTCCCGAAGGTCGCAGTGACACCAGGACGAGTGCCAGTGTATTCACACTGCCTGGAGAGGGGCTGACGCTGAGCCAAACCCCACCTGCCACCCTTTTTATTCACCTCTTTCTTACAAGGAGGCAAGGAGAGGTGTCCTTACATGGAAATACTTTTTTTTTTCCTTGCCTCTCTCTTGGTTTTTTGCTTTTTGTGGCACTGCTGTTCCATGGGAGCCCAAGAGCAGAGCTGCTGTCTGCATTCAGTGCAAACCTCGCGTCTCTCTCTCTGCTGGTGCCAACCCTACTCTAGCTGAGGTCACAACAAGCAGTTATTCTTTGCTCCTACATCTAAAGGACAGAGAGGAGTTTAAGGCTACTTAAATTGGCCTTTCTGTCTTGATGCTGTTAGCTGGGGCTCTGCGAGTGCCAAATGCTGTTATTATTGCTGGTTTGGTGGCACACAGCAGCTGCCCCCCCCCAAAATAATCAAGGGCCCCATTGTGTCAGCCACTTTTCACTGCACTCAGACAATTCACAATTTAATAAAAACAAAAACGTAAGGGAGGAGACACTCCTGTGGTAACAGGGATTTGCCAAAGTCACAAAAACAGGTCATTTCACCATAAAACTGGCAACTGCGTTTGGTTAGGACTTGGAGAAGAAGCCAAAACCACGGAATGGTTGCTTTTCTTTACTTATCCCAGCATTCCCAGACTCCTCAAAGAGTTTTGGGATGATGTGGGACTGCAGGACTCCTCTCTTCCTGCCTTTCTCTCCTCCTCCTTCCCTTTGCATCCCATTAATCCCCACTTACTGGAGGCTGCAGCTGGTGACAGAGTACAACTTCCACAGGGAATCAGTGACCAATTCTTGGCAGTCCCTGGGGAGAAATGTCAGCTCTTTAGAAGTTTGCTCGTTAGAAGTTTGCAGAAGGATTTGCCTCCGTTCGCTACGGAAGCGAAAGGCCTTAGGAGGATTTAGAGCACTGATTTTGCCCTGCTGGCAGCTTTGATAATTTGATTTAAGTCCTGACAAATTAAACAGCGCATGCTGCTCCGCGTATTTGTAGAACCCTCCAGGCATTCCAGCAGCAGAACCCCTCACCAGGCAGCTGTTGCTAGGAGCTGGGCTGTGTTTGTAGCACCGAAGGCTGCGGGATGGCGGAGCAGCGTGGGTGTCTGAGCTGCCCGTGGGGCCCCACCACCCCTCCATCAATGCCAACAGGCCACCTGCGCTCCACTCCAGAACCTGTTCCATCCCAGGACTCTTTTGTGCTTCCCAAGCTGCTTACGACCCGTCCAGAAGTCAAGTGCACATCCTCCAAGCTGAAGAAAGGACAGGGAGCAATTAAAGCTCTCCTAAAATACTTAGAAACCGCTGAGCGCAGGTTAGAATTTCCATTATTTTTGGCAGCACAGGGTGTGGGTTTGGCCCCTGTGGGAAGGGGCTGAAAGGCAGCAAGGTGGGGCTGTGCAGAATGGCTCCCTCATCTCCGTGCAGCACCTTTTACACCTGTCCTTGTGTCAAACAGTTGCCAACCCTGCATCCAACAGCTTTCCTGCGTTGTGGCTTCTGTCTCCACAAGGAACAACTCGTTTGCTGCTTTCACATCAATTGCAAAGACCAAAAAATGGGTTTTCAAGCTTCAAAGCTTCCTGTCATTTATCCCAAAGCTGAACACTGAGCCCTAGAGCTGCAAGTTGCACCCGCAGCCTGAACCTGCAGCTCAAAGCCACCCAAAAGCTGTAGGCAGAAGCTCCCAGAAGTTAACTGGGAGACATTCCCAGTTAACATCAATAACTAAATAAGGGGAAAAAAAATCTGCCAGACATGGGGAGACGGATCAACAGAGCAAAGACAAGGACCCCTCACTTCCCAAGTGCGGACCAGGATCTTTCCTCTTGCAGCCAGCGCTCTGCAATGGCCTCTGTGCCACCCAAGAGGAAGAGGAAGACCAGAGCCACGCGACAGGGCCGTCACCAACAGCAGGCACCATCCTTATCGGCCGACAGAGGTAAATCTTGTGCCCTCATTTTTAACCATTAGGTGTTCTAAGTCTTACAGTTCTGAGTTGATACCGTGATCGAGAAGGTTACGTTTTCTGTACCTGGCCAAAGTGCTGGCCACCAACTTACAGCATTCTGGCACACAGTTTATACCTTTTTCAGGTAAACCCCTTGAAAATATTTCATCTACCTCTGAAGTGAAGCTTGACAAAGCCAGGCCTCATGAGAACAGAATGAGTGGTAAGGCAAACCCTCAAGAAAAGCAGCCAGAAGAACTGATACGACAAGTTCCAATGGCATCAGGACCATACTTTTATGTCAGTGGATCTAATGGAGCAGGACTGTAAGTAGGTCCTCAGCAATACATGACCATACATCAAATTGCACTGCATCATCCATCAGCATAGAAACATTTCCTTTTGACTTTATGTACTGTCAGAATGACACATTCCAAGAATAGTTTAAGAACAATTCCAATGGAAAGTGCTTAATGGAAGACCAACTATAGTAAAGTAGATGACTGTTACCTTTAAGCAAGACACTGAACATTTCTACTTATTTGATGGGAGTTCTCTGGGTTCCACGTAGCAAATCTGCCAGCATCATCGCAAGCTCTAGGCACCACTGCAGTCCATCGACCGTTCGTTGCCCTAAATGCACTACCAGCAAAAAAAAGAAGACATTTATGCCCAAGAAAAATAGTCAGACCAGCAGTTCCATCTTTCACTTCCCGACTTCTTTCCAGTATATTGACATTCTTCTCTAGATGTTGCCACCAGCAAGCACCACAGAATCTCTATTGTTAGCAGCACATTCCTTGCTACTTTTCCAAGCTTTGCCCACGAGCTTTTCCTATTGCTATCTGTCATCTCTTCCTGCACTCAGCAGAGAGGCTCCTTAATGACACTGGACCCTAATGCACAGCATTCCTATTCCGCGGGTACCACTTGCATCCTAACTGAAACAACCCTGCTGAGAAGGTACAGTTCTCATTAGCACTGCAGAATTACAGCATCCTGAGCACCCTCAGTCGTGAGTTCAGAGCAGCAGGTCCACTTGCAGCCACTCTAATTAATGTTTCCCCCCTTATTCCCCACCCAGGGGTTCTTGGGGGCGTTAGGTCAAACTCCCAGGGAAATTGTTAGGAGTTCAGGGGATGTGAGCTAACTTCATTGCTGGAAAGGAGGCTATTTTGCTATTTTGTTTTCCATACGCAGTGTGAGCATCTATTGCCAGAGCAGAGGCTGGCAGCGTATCTATGACAACAGAAGACAGGATTACGCACTGAAATGGTGTGAGATCAAGTGCCGAGAGACCTATTACCATTTCAAAGAAGGTAGAGGTGCCAGTGGGCCTCGAGTGGGAGAGGGCAGTGGGAAAAAGGAGAGAATGCTGGACTTGTGGCTCCCAGGGCAGAGGTCACCTGCGGGGTAGGAGAAACAGGTAACCTCAACTTCTTGGCAGACCTCAGTGGGGATATTGGAGCTGGATTGCCATGGTGATTAAAGAAAGGGTTTTAGACGAGAGAATGGCTTGGGGAGAAAAGATACCATTGAAATGAACTGCGCACAAAGCATCCTAATCACTTTTGAAATGCAGCTCTCCCTCTGCGGGTTGGAGCTCGCAGGCAGCAATAGGGCTGACACTGTTCTGCTGCACAGCAGCAGCTGGCACCTCACCAGCCTGGTCGAGGTTTTGCATACATACAGAGAGCGCCCCACATACACAGGCACCCCCTGCTACTGCCTTCAAGTAAATTGGTGAGAGTCAGCAGCGCCCAGATCAGCATCATCCTCCAGGTTCTGCTGCGTGAGACAACGAGGGCAAGCTTTCTTTTCTCCTCCTACAGGCGAGCAACTGCTCTACCAGATTCCCAACAACAGTGTCCTCACCAGCAAGACTGGGCTTTTGTCCTGCCTGCGAGAGCAAGAGCGAGTGATGAAGAAGATCAACAGGAGCTCTAATCCCAAGTAAGAACTCTCACCTCATTGCACCTTGAGCAGAAGCACGTGCCAAGCAAAAGAGAGAGCGCTTAAAAAAAGAGGGCACAAAGGATAGAGGATTCTTTCTTATTGTCTAGAAAAATCATTTCCCCAGAGCAATGAATGTGTCAGACAGGGTTTTCAGCCTGTATTTGGTTCTTTTGTAGGTTACTGAAGATGAAAGAATTCTTTCCAGAATCTTTTCGCCTGGACTTAAAAGAAGAGAGAAATGCCTTTTTTGAGCTTTGCAGAGGTGAGTTGACTTAATCAAGGTAGCAACCAGCTTAAATAGCTGTCTGTCCCTTAAGTCCATGAATATAGACGGAGTGATACTCCTTGATACGAGCTGTGTCTATCGATGATGTACACACAAAGCCCACTGACTGCAGCGTTTCACACCCCACGCCTCGCTGTAACAGACTCATTCTCTCTGCAGAAGAGGAGATTTGGATCTGCAAACCGAGCTGCTCTAACCAAGGGCGAGGAATTTTCCTGCTGAAAAATCCCGGTGCTGTCACCAGCCTGCAAGCCAAGCTCTGCAGCTCTGAGAGAGACCTACCCAGTAAGAGGGTGCCCTGTGGGGCTCCCCAGACAAGAATAGTGCAAAGGTAGACATTGAAGCCTGGCAAATGGATGAGTAGCGTGCTTAATTAAGCCATTAAGCCTCCATTTGTTATATTGTTCCGTCGGTATTTCATGTGTTTACACCACATCATCAACCTATACGATTTTGTTTAGTGGGACACGCTATTTCTCTGGTTAGTCTGTCTTGTGTCCACACTTCAGTCATTTCAGGGTGGATCTTTGCCATTAGAAAGATTTGTTTACCTTTGTCTGGAAATTTAAGGGTGACTTCAAAAGGCCAGGTGCTACTGTTCCGTGCATGACAAAAGACTCATACGAAGTTATTTAAACTAGGTACTATCCCACCTTCTGAGACAAAGCAGGCATTTTACAAACCGTGCAGCTGTTCAATCCATTCCGCACAATTTAATCAAACCTCTCAAATATCTTCCAAAATCTGCCCCATTGCGATGGAAGCCTCGACCTCCATCAGTGGCTAGCAGTCAATAGAACCCTGGATTGTTTGCTTTTGCGTTCCTTGCAGGAATGAAAGAACCATCCAGGTTTTTCTTTGTAGAGCATGACATCGCTGTGGCCGTAAAAGCAGCAGTGCCACGTGAAGGGCTCTTTGCGCCCTGACATAAACTATGTTTACTCCCCAGCAAATATTAGTAAACCTTTACTTACCTTCCACTCCAAAGACTCAGCTCTATGCCTCTAGTCCATTCCCAGATGTTCTGGCTGCTCCTCTGGGCTCCGTCTGCACCTGAAAGAAGGACAAACAGCTTTGTTCTACGGTGCAGAACCAACTGGCTGCAGGGTTTTGTGTGAGCTTTGAGCTGCTATGTCTTACAGCTGTTGGTGACACGTCTTGACACCCTCACAGGTACATTGACCAACCTCTGCTCCTGGAAGGGAAGAAGTTTGACGTCCGTTCCTACCTCCTCATTGCCTGCACAGCACCGTATGTGTTGTTTTTTGCCCAGGGCTACGTCCGGCTGACCTGTAGCAATTACGACGCCACATCTGACGATCTGACTGTCCATCTCACCAACCAGGTAAACTCAGTGCATTTAGTTCAGAAGAAGAGCGGAGGAGTTGACAAGGAAGGGACGCAAAAGAGACTTTTGAAAGGCTGAAAATGTGCTTCGTGTAGGCAAAATCCATGCACCCAAGAAATGGAGGTGGGCTTACGGTCAGGCACGGCACCATGGCAATCCCCTACTGGAGGGGGTTCACTCTCTGCAATGACCAATTCTCTCTTTATGTTGACCGTTTCTGTCCCTGGACCATTTTTCCTCCAATATTCTCTCGTAGACTATGAGTCTCTTAGGAGAAGCCTTTGCCTGTGGCCTACCTAGAACCAACCAAGCTTAGTCTTGGCTGAAGATTTGGATGTTCCTCTTGTGCTAAATGTGATAATAATCATAATGGTGTAAGGTGCAGATGCGTTCTTCAGGAGCCATCATTCTTAAATCTCTGCCTTGGCTTCCCTTCCTTCTCTGATGAGGTCTATGCAACAAAACTGTTCTGGCTTATATTCCCATCCTACTTCTTAGGAAGCCTTTCTTATTTAAATCTACCTGAGTTTTTTGCCTTCCTGTGAGGCTCTCCAGTATTTAGAGAATCAGACAGAAAAATGGTTTGCTCGTAAAGCCCCTCTCCCACTATAATGCTGTGTTTGGGAACTGGCAAAATACTTCTAAGGGCGAGATATGCTTCAGACAAGCCCACTTCAATTCTTGTTGGAGTTTTATGGTTCCTGTACAAGTACAGTTCAGCACGGCAGATTACAGTTGCTTCCTGCAATATATGCTATTATCAGTGTGCTGCTTGTTTTCCTGGAATAGTTTGTTTGCTCAGGTAGAGAGCTATCCACATGGGAATTCAGGTGCTCGGGTAGGATCCCATGGCACAAGCCCTATTAAACAAAGGACAGGTGTTTATCAGCAGAACATGAATTATCTGGGAGGAGGGAAACAAAATCTACAGGAGCAGTTGGTAAGAGGCCAGGCTTCAAGTCACAGTTGATTCTGCCCCCGTTCCCTTCCTACCCCAGCAGTGATAAGTTCCATCTGACCTGGGGGTTAATGAGACAGAGGAACAGGCACCTGCTCAGGGTTAGGTCTGCTGCTGCTTCCCTCCACGTCAGTAACGTGATCCTGGCTCTCCCCAGCTCCATCCCTGGAACAAGGCAGGGTAGAGGGACGCCTGCCATCCATGTTTCCTGTTACTCTTTAATCCTCCCCTCGCTCTGTTCCCCACCTTGCAGTACGTGCAGAAGAAGAACTCCCTCTATGGCCAGCTGAAGGATGAGACAGTTTGGCAGATGGAGCATTTCAACAGCTACGTTAATGAGAAGTTTGGGAAAACCAATGGCCTCCCACAGGACTGGGTTTTCACTGTGTTTACTGTGAGTGCAAGCAAGCTCGTGGTGTGCTAGTCTGCCTAGCCTAATTAGGGTGATGGGAATAGGGAGAAAAACCTCCAGTTCAGGGGAGTCCCCAAGGAAACGTATGTACCAAATGAGAAGGCATCGATGGTCCCATGGTAACTATTTGCCTGCAGATGATAAACAGAAGACAGAGTTTAATTTCAGTGGTTAATAAAATGGGTAAAGTGCTGATAAAGGGAGGGGGCTTCCTTCAACTCAAAGTGGACAGACATACGGTTTCCAAAATACAGCCTCCATCCAAGTCTAGAGAGGAAGAAAAAGTGTCCCTAAGCCAAGAGGAGGCCAATGACTTGCAGTGACTCCTGTGCCCTCGGCATTGGCAATGATTAGTTATCCCTGATCCCTATCTTTCAGAAAAGGATGCAGCAAATCATGTTGCAGTGCTTCCTGGCAGCCAAGCACAAACTGGATCGTAAACTGGGCTACTTTGATCTCATTGGCTGTGACTTTTTGATTGATGAAAACTTTAAGGTATGAGTAAAATATTGCCAAATACTAAGTATGACATTGGCCAGATGTCTAATGCCAGCAATGTAGGATGGTTGACACTGACTCTGGCACTAGAAATTAAACAGAGCATTCACTCAGCCGGCCATGAAGGGCAGGATTCATTTCTTTCTCCAGTTGCATTTTCCAACATCCAGATATGGCACCTATGCAGCCTGTACATGTATTGCACAAAGACACCCTGGCATTAGCAGCTCAGGAGGGGAAGAAAAATCCTTAACTGCAGCAGAAATTGCTCTGTGCAGAATTTTCCCAGGGAAATGGAGTCGTGAGAAATACAGGAATCTTAATATCTACTCAGTTCATAGAGAAAGTAAGGGAATTTTAATGCCATTCAATATTTTTCACTCTAGAAACCAAACATGACAGATAATCAGCCAGCATAAATCAGTTTGTAATGCCTGTAACGCCACACGAAGAATGCTGATTTACACAATCCACAATCCACAATCCAGGAGTGAATTTGCCATCACCACCCTGCGGAATCAGTCATTATCGATTCAGGTGTCAGCATCAGCACCTCCACATTCACTGCAGGTTTACCATTTAGCAAGAGGTTAGCCCGTCAAGGCTATAAAACCTGCTACGGAATTACAGCTCACACTCGTGAAGAGTGAACGAAACGCAGAGAAGGAAAGCCAGAAGAAAGGGAAATGTTCAGTGCAGTGATTGGACTGCTCTCAGTGCAGGCAGTCCTTCACAAGCACCTGGTCTAAACATAACAGAAAGCCATCTGGCAGATTTTGCTGTTGCTAAAGCAGAAAAGAACTCAAACTTATTCCAGCAAAGTGCAGTGGGAACAGCAAACCCAATGAAAGAATGGAATTAATGTATGCAGCACTGGGCAAGGCACGCAGACAATGGCCTCCTTTGTACGGGGAAGTCAATGGCAATGGGGAGCAAATGGGAAAGACACAGAAACTGGTGCTTCTCAAATTTCAGAAGCAATTGTCTTTTGCAATGTTGGCATGCAAAGCACTGGCTGTGCAAACTTGAAGCAGAATGGAAGATCCAATATCACTCTATTGTGGCAATCCCTACCTGGCCAGTTAAAAACTTCAGTAATTAAAGACCATTACATCCCCATGCATTTTACATATGGAGAGAAAAACAAAATGTGTCTCTTGACAGGTATTTTGTAAAAACATGATGAGGATTTCAGGACACCTAGTGGTGAGGTGGTCAGTTGGGACTGCCATCCTATTTGATGACACGTGTAGAATTTGCTTTGCATTGATTTTGCACGGCCCTGGGTTTGGTTCTATGCCTCATCATGCTATTCCCTCTTCTTTATTTTCCTGAGATAAAAGTGCCCCCTAGTATCACTCCTGATAATTTCTGCAGGCCCTGCAGCGTTGCAATCTAGTTCTTGAAGGTGTTTTCCTGCCTCTCAGTTCTTAGGAGCGTGGACCAAGAAAGCAGAGCCTGCAGAGAAACCACAGCTTACAGCAGAGCTTTGCAAACTTCATGTGCAGGATGAGAAGAGAAGGAAAGAGAACATGAATGATGGATGTGGTTTTACTGTTACTTTTTTTTGTAACACCCCCCCCCTTCTGGTTTCTGGGGCTTTCCTGTGCTGTACTGTAAATGCCAAAGTTAATACACAGCTTAGGACGCAGCCATTTAAGTGCCCAAGGAACCTGCCTTCAGAAAGCATTGCGTCAGCTGTGCAAAAGGGCTCTGCAAAGGAATGCTGGGAAGAGAGATGCCTAAATTTTTTATCAGCCATAAAGGGATTCGGCTCTCTATCACCAGACTGAACACAGATAAGCCATTGGCCAGTTTGTGACAGGTGCCTATAAAATAAGATAACCCTTGTTAAAGTAGGGATGGTCCCTTTGATTGGAATGACGCAGCTTTTCCCTCACCCCAGCACTATCAGACACCACATGGATGCTGCAGAGCTGGGAGTGCCACTGCAGGTCATCAGCATGAGAAATCTGACAAAAACCAGAGAAAACAGAACCCCATTGGTTACCAATGGCTTACCAGATGCAGGGAGGAGGCTCAGGTGCTCAAATTCTACGTGAAATCCCCATGAATGACACGATATGCTGGATCTTGACTTTATTCTCTGCGTTCTTCCTGAAACAGAACAAAAGAGGTTAAGAGCATTTAAACAACTGTGACACACTGCGGTACAATAATAGGGAGCGTAGGAGACAGACAGCATAATAGATGTGAACACCTCCTCCTGTTTGTTTTGAAGGAGAAGAAACCAAAACCTAGTCAAGACAATTACAAAGGTTCACTGAGTTTGTCTGTCAGCAGAAAACCTTCGCACTTCTAATAGGAAAAAGGAAATTTGCTCAGAAATAAGGGAGTTTGCCAAGAAAAATAAATGTGACTTAGGTGCCCTCTGTTGGCATCTGCAGAGCAGGTTATTTCTCAGCACTCTCTGGAAAGAAAAAAAAGGAAACCCACAGACATTTCAGCACCCTCGCTTACAAACCTTCTCTGAAATACGGTACTGAAACAAATGTGACAATTCTTGTTGCATTTTATTCTCAGCAAAACGAAGTGCAAAAGTGAAAGCTGTCCTGTTGCCAAAACCTACCACCCACATTTCTCAGTTACTTGCAGGCAAACTCCCTGCTGCTTCAGGAAAAGAAAAACAACAAGAAAAGCACGACCGCAGTGTATGTGTTTTTAAACATCAATTAAAAGGGAGTAAAATTCGCTTGGGGCTGTTGAATGATTAAACATCCTTCCTGAAATAAACATCAAATAGTTCCTATACATCGTCTTTGCAAGATGCAGCACCATATGGCAAAGGCAGGAAGCAAACAGATGAGTTTCTCTCGCGGCAGGAAAAAGAAATAGTAAACAGAATTGCATTGAATTCAACCGTTTGCTTTCACACAGACCTGCAACTGGGCCATCACGTGCCACAGCTCAGAGCTGCAGACTTCAGCGTGTCAAAGTAGAGCTGAAATGGGTGCTGGTGTGCAAATATCTTGTATGGCTTCTACCTAAAACCAAAGCTTACCCAGGAAATCAAGGCCAGGGGTTAATTGAGAGCTTGGTGCTGTGTTTGCTTGGTCTTGACCCCATGTCCACCCCGAATCAAAGACATGACTACTAGATTCCTTGTAACTTCCTATGGAAACTGGCACGATAAGAGACAGAACAGTGCCTTAGCACACCCACAGAGCAGGAGTCTAAGCTGAAACATAAAATAATATGTGGCGTTACTCTAAAGTAATGAAATGTAACGATTCCTCCAGTCCTTGTGAAAACGCTGCCTCACCTGCACTCCGTGCTAGAGGATCGTGTTGGGATTTATAAGTACTCCTGCACTTCCACTGCTCACTAAGTCAATAAAATGGCATCACTGCAGCTCTGAGGAGCTCCAGCCTGACTTCCTGGTTGCCATTCGCCTTTCCTAGGTCTGGCTTCTAGAGATGAATGCAAACCCTGCATTGCACACCAACTGCAAAGTCTTGAGAGACATCATCCCCAGCATCATCCACGAGAGTCTCGGTAAGCAAAGAAGTCACAGAGCGGTCAGTAATGGGCAATCACATCACAGCACTGCTTGGCACAGGAAAGGCTCCTGTTGATACCATTTGTAGCTCCAAAATACAGAATAAAGAGATCTTGCTGCCGAGTTTGTTGCTGATACAAAAGGCAGTGAAAATTCTACCCAGCGCAGACGCAGGAAAGCTATGGTCTCATTAGAAATAAATGGTCCCTTTTTAAAAAAATATTATTTTTAGGAATAATACGGTGAGTTTGGGTGCATGTTGCCATCTGTCCACTTTGTAACTGCAGATCTCTTCCAGATCTGGTTCTCGAGATCTTCACCAAGTGCCTCAAGGGACAGAAGGTGCTGCCTTTGAAGACACTCTGCCGCTTTGTGCTTCTCTACAATGAGGATGCTGCAGACCTGGGCCAGAAGCCACCTCGGAAGCTCAGCACCAGGTCGTTCACAGGAAGGTACCTGAGGCCACACACAGACAGCACCAGGCACTTCAGGTACAGCCCTGCCAAAACTGCAGGCCTGTCCCCAGCAGCTCAGCTGCTTCAGAAGAAAGAGTGCCTTGCTGCCTACAAAGGGCTGTCGGCGAGCTGTCCTAACCATGCTGCACGTGCAACAGTTTGATCTCCACAGATAACCACACTGAGTCACAGAGCAAGAGGGTTTTCACAACTTCAGAGAGACAGGAAGAAAATAAAAGTTAAGCTCTATGTGCTACGCATGTTATGCTCTTTTTCACCCGGTAGAAACAGACTGGTATCAACCTCAGCTAAGAAAACCAGTAACTGTGAGTGCCAATAGTTCTGTAGAAAGCAACGCTTCCATCAGTCAGCCAACAGAGAAGTTACAGAAAACGAGACACACCAAACCCCATCCTTCCAAAAGCAATGCTGACCTGACACTGCAACCCAGAACACTCAATAAAGTCCTTTTATGAAGAGGCAAGGAGAGCTGCTGAAAGACCAAATCCAAGGCTTAGCGCAGAACCCCCTCAGCTGGTCCTGCAGCTGCCCATAGCTTGTCTCCAGCTGCACAGCCAGCTCCTCCTTCACCAGATGTTCCTCGCACATTTAACCTCATTTCACTAAGAACTCTTTCGGTTTTTGTTTGGCTGAGCTGACAGCTACACAGCAGCACACGCTTATCGCATCAGGCCATCAGCTCTGAAGGAAGCAGCGACGCCTGGGGGACCTAGGAGACAAGAAGGGGGGAGAGAGCTTCAAAAGCCACAGGAAACGCTTTCACATCCCGGGTGCTGCCACTTCTAAGCTAAGAAGATGTAAATGAACAGCAAGGTGCATGCGTGCTTCCTTCCTGTGCTCACCCTGCCTGCCATTCATGCCATCCCTGCGCTGCAGCAGCGCTTCGAAGACAGCGCCGGAGGACGAGGCGGCCGCTGAGCCAGCATGGGATGCTGCAGCCTGAGAGCCAGGCATGCTGGTGCTGCAGGAGAAAGCCAGGATGAGGTGGAGCTGTTGAAGACAGGCAGGACCAGGTAGGGAGCAGTGCTTCGAGGGGTGAGAAACACCGACGGTCTTTGCGCAAACAGAAGGGCATCTATTGCTGGCAATTGTGACCCACTGGCTGTTTTTGCTTGCTAAATATGACTCGCTTGAGAGCTTTCTCTTCTTCCCCTTTTCTAGCCAGAATTTACAGTAAAGCTAAATGTCAGATACTTCTTCTCAACAGAGCCTGCTTCCTTCTCCTGAACAGGCCCCATTAGGAGACACAGCCTCATCTCCTCCTGCCATGCAACCCTTCTACTGGGGCAATCACCACCACCCCCAGAGCTCGTGCTCTGTTGGAAGCAGATGGTTTTGGACCCCATCACACAGCAGGGTCAGCCTGCAGGCCTGGCAGGAGGCTCAGAGCCATCGGCAGCCTCAGCCCTTCCCACATCTTGCTTGGCAGATGCCCTGAACTTCCAGTCACAAAGGTTCAGCAACATCCCAAATAAGCCATGGTTTCTCCCCCTTAGCTAACCCCCAGTGCAGATGAGGCCGTTGTCTGTACCTCCTTACCTACCACAAAGACAAATAAAACACATTTCCCCTCCTCTTTCTTGTGGCCTTTTATATCTACACTGAGCTGCATTTCGTTCCATAATTTCACCAGAAACTGCTATTAAGGCAGGTGCACAGAGTGCCCTCAGCATCCCTGCAAGTCCTTCCCACACAATGCCAGGGGAAAACTGGGAGTCTAAATGCTCTGATGAATTTTGGGCCATGATTCTTGCTTAAAGTAAAGGGATCTTTGACAGTATTTTCATTATAACTTCAGCTTTGCTATCCTTGACATGCCTGTTTTCCAATTCTGCATCTGCTGCATTTTTTTCCCCCTAGATTTCACTGAGCTGCACCCAGCCAGCATTCCAGCTTAAAATAGAATACTCCATAATACACAAAATTCACGCCAGAAATCCAGAAGTGTGCCTGCTGACTGAGCATGAATTATTCTCTCTTTCAAACAACACACGTAAATGCTTTCCGATGCCTTTCCACAATCTCTTCCATTACAGAAAATGGTCCATTTCAGACGGCCAGAGTGAGGGATCCCTCCAACCTAAGGACCCTGCAATTCCCACAAAGACAGAAGGGGTGAGTACGATACATAGGCAAAGATTCATATGTAGTACACCAGGGAAGAAATCAGTTTGTCTCAGTTTTTGCTCAACAAATTCACGCGCAAGAAAGCCCATCACCATATTTCCTAGGACCGTGCTTTATCCTATTGCTGAGAGCATGCACTGAGAGAGGAAATGTTCTATAAAGGCACATATATATGTCAACATCCAAACCTCCTGTGGTCTGGACTGCAAAATTACCCGTTCTCTCTTTTACCTTATTTATATATCAGCATCGCTTGACTCTAGATTCCATTTTTTCTCTTCTGATCATCTCTACAGCATGATTCCCAGCATGATTTCAGGAAGAAATACTCACTATTTTGTCTTTCTTTTTTTTCTTCCAGGCAGAAGCACTGTGGGGAAAAACACAGGAAGAACTGCTGGACTTGCTGGTCGCTCAGCCCATCGCTGGCTGGGAAGGCAGGAAAATCCTTTCTCCTGGGGAGATTGTTTGGTCCTCCTGGGTTTTTCTGAGAAGTTATCACATGGAGGTAATCATCATCACAATATGACCATGGTAATATGCAGGGGATTTTTCACTTGGGAGACAAAACATGAGCTACATTTGAATTTCAAGTATCCTGTCCAAATTACTGTCAAACCGGTGCTTGACCAAAGCCACAATTTGCCCTGACTTCCCCCTGTTCCCCCCAAAAGTTAACGCTATTACATTCAACTTTCATTCCACCAGTGCCAGCAAGAGCTGAAAGGATCTCATAGCCACTTGCTTGAGCAGCATGACTTTTTGTTCATTCACTCTGATAAAAATGTCCTTTTTGTCAGAAGGCTTTTTTTATTCTTTTCCCCTAAGAGACAACACTGTGATGGTTGCAAATTTGTACGTGTGACGCTCGACCCCCCTCCACGGGAACTGGAGCTGAGTGGTGACAGCACTGAGGTGTGACAGCCATTACAGTGGTGTCGAAACCAGAAGAGGGAACTGAGACCTGTCCTGACTTTGCCATGGACTCACGCCTCTTTTAAGCACACGCTCATTTATCTGGGAAGACAAAATAAAGTTACAAAGAAGAGTCACAGAATCATTTGAGCTGGAAGGGACCTTTGAAGGTCATGTGGTCCCACTCCCCTGCAGTGAACAGGGAAACCCACAGCTAACTCGAGTGCTCCGAGCCTGGTCCAGCTCAATCTTAAATGCTTTCAGCCAAAGTGTGATGTAGTAGTGCAGGCCAATCCAGCAGTTAAACACTGCAGAGCTCCCCATCAACCTGCAGACAGCTGTCAATCAGTCAGCACTGCATGTGGTGATGTACCAATATTGCATGAGGAGAGAGGAAGGGAAAGTGGAGAGCTCTGAAGAAATGCAATTTCCTTTTCCTTTAAAAAGAAAAAAAAAAAATTGAAATGTCGTGGAGGAAAGATGTGACTGGTCTTATTCCAACAGGAGATGTCTGAACGCTACCTTGTGCTGACCTCCTTCCACTTGCTGATTCTTTCTGTGGATCACACAAAGAAGGCATTTGTTTATGAGGTAAAGCACAAGAATCCTTCTGTGTCTTGCAGTCACGCTCACTGTCAAGATTTCCCAAATATCTCTTTGCTCACAGCTCTAGCATATGCATGGCAAAAGGAAAGCTTCCTTCTCGGTGCTGTGCCAAGAGCAAGGCTCAGGATGGAGCTCACATGTTCTGGCCCCATCAACTAAGGCAGGCACTTCACTGGTTTCAGTGGAGTTTTGGCACATTTTCTAGGACAGTAGCTCAAAATTCTCTATTTTTTTGCAGCTTATTTTGAATAGTGAAGAGCGTCTGCTCCAGAGATTGAAGAGGAAGTGCCAGTTTCTATTTATATTATATTCTGTAATTTTAGCTGGCCTCTTATCACAGCCATTTTGCTTCCCCAAGGAGAGGGAGTGCAGCTCCCTGCCAGAGAGCTAAGCATCAACCAGAAGGCGTCAAGAGAAGGTGATAAGAACAGGAGGCGACAGGAGAAGGAGAGTTAGGAAAGGTACAGGAGTGGGCAGGCACAGGGTAGCAGAGAGATGCATCCAGGAGAGCAGCCCTCAGCACTGCAGTGCCTCCCAATGGCGTTGGTACATGTCTGTGGATCCTAAATGTGAGGGAAAAAGACAAATTGAGAGACTGCAGGAACTGAGCTGTGTAACACTGGAGATGATAAAATTCCACGTCCAGCTGAGTGGAGCAAGAGGATGGCGCAGAAAAGTGATCATGTAATGAAATAAAAGACAAAATGAGGACAAGGTTGCTTTGTCCTTAATATGAACAGCTTCTTCTCTGGCATGGCTGGGGAGCACGGAGGAGGAATTAAAGAGGCTGCAAGGCAGATGAAATCGGATCTAGCTCACACACAGTGCTTTCCTACATCATTCTTGGTTCTTCTTACCAATTGACTTTTGACACCTTTCCCATCACACCAGGGTCTCGTTCCTCTTGCTGGGATGCACCTGAGGGAGGTTGTGACTGCCATCAGCTGCACGTTTGAAATTTCTGGTAAGCCTGCTGGACAGCTTCTGTAAGGGCTGCAACAGTCACAGAATTCACCCACTGGGTTCAAATGCCATCCTTCTTCAGAGGCAGGGCACGTTGTGTCTTTGCACAGGGCCCATGATGGAGTCCCGGCTCATTTGCTGCCAAAATTCAGCCGACTTTGACAAATGGATTCAACACCTCCAGAACCAAATCAAGATGGCGAATGCCAACTCCTCAGCCAGTCCCACCAATAATATCTCTTTCCTGGTAAGTCGGTGGGGAGTAGATGTAAAGAGAAGGGGCTGAAAACAGGAAACGGTGGCAGCTCTCGAAGTGGATTTTCAGAGATGTTTAGAATACGGGCTGAAACTGAACAGTAACTGTATTCAAGAATGCTGTAGATTCTATCTGGGCTAAAATAAACTTGCTACCCACAACGCTTTATCACCAAACACTTGCAAATGCTGCTCTAAGTTCAGGAGAGGTTTTTGACACGCTGCTGATTGTTTTTCTTCATGAGATGTAGCTGCTACACTGCTAATATACATACATATAAATGTTCCTCTTAGTTACAGCCAAAAACCACCAAAAAGAAAGACACTCTTCAATACATGCTGTGACGCAGACTTATAAATACATACAAAACACACTGCAACATCCACAAGAGTCACAAGATGGCAGGATTACGCTGCGGCTGAGGGTGTCCAATGCCCTCCCCAAAGCTTTCCTCGACGTCGTTCTAAGCTCAGGTTCCTAAAGTGAACGAACTAATTGGAAAGCCAACTTGCCTTTCTCCCTCTTCCTTGTGCTATTTATTAACAGTGCAATTGAGGTTTCCCTCTTTAAATATCCGCTCAGCTGCCCTTGATGTCTAGCATGGCATGAAGTCTATGGGGCAGCACTGTACTTCAGCCGTACCTATCTTCTGTTTTGGATAACCTAAATATTTTTATCACCCTGTAACCCTGATAAACATCATACTTTGTCTTTTATCACCCTTTGCTTCATCTTAAAAAAAAAAATCATAATAATAATTGATGAAGGTGCCATGCGATGAGCAGTGGAAGAAAAGAGCGCTGATGAGACATCTCTTGTGTAACACCATTCTGAAATGGGAAGGAAAACCAATTCAACACCTGGGAAGGATTCAGCATCTGACCATGGTGCAGATGGCTACTGGCTGCACAGAGGTAACATTGTGCTCTGATATTGGGTGGCTTTGGCCAGGTTCAAACCAGTTGAGGTTTCATGTGGGACTGGTGCAAATAATAATAATAATAAAAAAGCTATAAAGCGTAGTTCCCCAAAAAATGTTTTGCAGCATTATGACTGCTGTTCCTGGTGCTGTTATGCCTTTGGCAGGCTACAGAAAAGGTAGCATAAGGTTAATTATGCTGAAAGTCCCGCGGCATTAAACAGACAAAAGGAAATGCAGAAGGGTGTTTTTCGGAGAGCCACTTCTGAGAACTCTGTCCAGACAGTTGCACTCAACTTCCAAAGAAACTGGGAGGGGGAGTCCATCCCCTTCCCATTACACAGGAAGGGCAGAGTTTTCTAAACATTCTATTATGGGAATGTATTTCTGAAAAATATAAACAACACAGCTCATCCTGTGAGATCTTACCCAAGCTGACTGATACAAAGAACAGTGTCTGGCTGGCACAGTAGCTAAGGTGCTGCAGGCAGCTCCACATTTTGAGGTGTTGTCATGACGTCTCTCGTCACCCCTTTTCCACAGGATCCTAAGGAAAGGCTGCTGATCCTGTTCCCAGAAGACCTGCTTTTTCTCTCTGTGGATGAGGAGAGAACTACAGTCACGTATGAGGTAACAGGAAACAGTAGAAATGGTCAAATAAGTACAGAACTGAGATCTGGTGAGCAGCTCTGGGTGATGAAAATAAACAGCAGGGAGAAAAAGGAAGAACGCATAGAAAAGCAGTGTTTTCTTTTCATTTCTGAAGGGAAAACTCCCCTTGACGGGAATCCAGGGAAAGGAGAAATCCACTGTGCTGGGGAGGTTACAGCTTGAAATTACAGGTAAGTCCAGTAGCAGTTTCTGGAAGGAAAGACTGCTTTTATAAGAAACAAAAAGCCTTCCAGTGCCCACAGATTCAGCACAGAATCCTCCTCACAGATGTGACATTTGGATCTACCACAAGAGACAGTATCTGGTTCAAGTCAGATTCCACTTCTAGCTGCAACCAGACAGATGCTCTTTACGGGCTTCGTAGGTTTCTGGCTGCTAAGCTGTAATAGCTCTCCACACTTCCCTGCTCAGTCCAGCAGCCAGCGCAATCCCAGACCTCCATCTTTTCTATCATGGGGAATCTCAGCCTTCTTGTGGTTAAAAGCCAAATCGACTTGGCAGTAGGATGCTGGCTGTAGGGAGAGGATCTAACCTTGTGTGGGAACAGCCCTTGTGATTCCTTTGCCATAGGCGTTTGCATCCAGCTCCTAACTGCTCCCTGCTGATGTCTTGCAGGAAGCCTGACAGAACCAATCCTTATCAATTGTTCCACAGCAGAAGATTATGAAAAATTACTCTTCCACCTACAGAAGGTATTTTTTCAGACCAGTTTGTGTCTCTCTAGTGTATAAATATTTGGCAGATAATAGTCACGTTACAAATAGTAGATTCACACGATAAAAACATGTTCTGGCTGTCTGTTCCAGCCAGAGAAAAACCTTGATGCTGTGACACTTCAGCCACCACCAGTCATCCCTAAGAAATCCTGGCATCATCATCAGGACGTCGGCATGCAGTGACAGGAAGAAGGTACCTGAATACGATCCCAATAGAAAGTGAAGAAGCTGCAAAAATGAACAGGAGGCGATTAGAAATTGGAAAGCAAGCTTCTTTCAGACTGAGAGGTGAATAAGGACCTGCAGATGAATGAGTCTTCACTGGCTGCTGCTTTGAATGAGCCACTGCAATTGATGCCTTGTGATTCTGACCTCAGCTGTACATATGCCTCAATGAGAAACCTTTCTCAATTTGCTTGCTATATTTATTGCCTGATCCTTTTCAGGAAAAAAAAAAAAAAAAAAAAAAAAGAACATTGTAAAATACTCTGTAAGTAATACAAATAAAACCATTAACCTGTGCTTAAACCATGCATAGAAAGCAGCATTCACACTTAACAACTTTCCAGCCTCATTCAAGTAGGCATTGCTTTGAAAAACCACGGCTTTTCTTTGGATGGCAGCACAGAGCTGTACTCTGTGGTGAATGATCTCTTGCCAATTGCTTTTCTTGCTTGCCCTAACCAAGGACATGTCCCCACATTCTCCTTACTGCCTTCTGCCCTCCAAGACAAACAACCCAAACACTTCAAGTGGGGCCAGGTCAAATTACATCTATTCATTTTGATCCTTTCACAGTACTTCATTTGGATTTTGAACACCTTCAGAATCATCTTTACACTCTACATCATTTTCCTGGCAAGGAAAATGAAGCATTGCTGCAAACCAGAATAATCAAGCATTTCATTTCATACACGTGTTCTCAGTTAGCTGCAGGCTGATCACCCAGGGGATGTCTGCAAAGTCACCTGAAAAAGATTTGCATGGTCCCATGGTCCCTATTTTATCCCAGCTTTCCATCTATGCAGCCTACACTGGCCTCTTGTAAATCAAGACAATGGAAAGCTGGCTATACTGTAAAACCAGATGCATCGACAGATCTGGGAAAAACAAAGAAAAGTATGTCCACAAGCAAAATAAATTATGCCTCTTTCTCATAAGCTTTCCCAACTTCTGCCATGTTGGACCGAGCCTGGGGAAAAAAGAAAATCAAAAGTTATTCACAAAAACAGGTGTAATTTCCCTTTCTTTGAGAAGAAAACAAAAAGAAAGAAAGAAAGAAAGAAAAAGAGGAAGGAAGCCCTGTGAAAATACTTTCTTTTACCTTCTCCAGTTTCAAAATCCTAATAATTTGCAGAAAACACGAGCAGACAAGTCAGCATAACAAAACACCGCATGCACAAATCTTTAGTGACTTCCTGTTTGAGCAAAACCTGTGCTATGAGAATACATTTCTGTACCTCGGGCAATTCTCTTATCCTGTTACTCTTTCACTCTTTTTTTCTTGTTTTTTTTTTATTGCAGGTAAAATATTTAGAAATCCCCAGGGCTCTGTGGGGCCCCAACCACCTCTGATCATCTCTTATCATCCAATCTTTTTGAGCCTGTATGTGTAATGCACACAGCAGTTTGAGATTAAGCAAATGACTGCAGTAAGGGGTATTACCTTGTTCTCCTAACTGCCACCCTGCGTTTCCTAAAACTGTGTGGGAAGGTCTTCAAGCCACTTCTAAGTATCAAACTTCGTCATAGTTAAAGTTTAAAAGCTTTTTGTTTTAGCAGGGTGAAGTTTGTCACACATTTACACTTCTTCAGGGCTTTCTCTGTGTAGATTTAAGCAAAAAATCTAGCTGTAGACATTCTGTGGATGCGAATGATTTGAGGGAAAAGCCTCTCTTCAGCAAAGCCCACATCAGTGATCAAGCTGAAGCTCAAGTGAGAGCTTGAGAAACTATAAACGCTGGGATTGAGCTGAAAATTAGGCTACGCTTCAACCCAAATGTTACCAAAATGCTACAAGTGAGCACTGATAAAATGAACCTATGGTTCTTTCTGAATGGAAACTGAAACAGTGATTTCTCACAAGCTCACTCTTCTGAACTGGTAGCTTTCATTTTCTTTGATGCAAAGTACAGCTCCTTTACTGGAATGCTCCAAGGCTTAAATGATTCACACTTTGGGTTTTTCCCTTTTAATTTGAGCTCTAAGAAGTCAGGAAATCGGTTGCTTTTTCCATCAATTACCAGCCATGAAGGCAGGTGGTTTAGGTAAGTATGAAGTAGAACTGCTCTTCAAGGTAGGCATAGAGAAATCGGAGAGGCCACTGTGCAAATTTCCCGTGTATGTTATGGCTCTGTTCATCATGTTTCAGTATTAACTGGCAGTAATTGTTGGCTGTTCAACGCCCACAGCCCAGGAAGTCTTCCACTCCTCACCAGAATTTGCCCAATATGTTGCCATAGGCAGGGACTTCATCTTGATGCTTGAATCTTTCTTCCTCCAGACGGTATCTTCTGTCATTTGTTTTGCCCATAATGTTGCTGTTTCTCTGCCATTGTCAGCAACAGAAAAAGTGGCCAGCAGAGTTTCCTGTTACTTTGGTTGCTGGTAGCTGAAATTCCGGCTTAGCCACCAGTCAGGAAATGTTAAGCCACTTACTGATAAAAAGGAGAAAACTCTCAAGTTCAACCGTCAGAAATACGACAGAGGAGTTTGGGGATACGCTACTGCAATAGCCAAAGTTCTGCAAGACAGAAGTGAGATGGAAAAGTGAAACTGTATTACTGTCAGGAACTATGAAATGGCCTAAAGAGGAAAATCTTTTCTTTCCAGTTTGCTTAATTATATCAAATACACACTCAATTCAATTGTTGAGTTTATTTTACCTTCACAAAGGGTCATCACCCAAAATCTGATTGAAAAACATGCTATATTAAAAAATGAAGGGTCCATACAGAGCAGAGAGTAAACATGGCCAGCATAGGAGCAGTAAGAAGAGCCTTGACCAGGAGTTCAGACTTGAGAAGTATATTAAATCCCATGGAGCACCTGCTTATAAGGCAGAGCCAATCTTACGCTTCAAACTAAGTGTAAAACTCACACATCAAACTAAGTCCTGTCTCATCCAGTCCAGTGCTTGGCACCTTTCATGAATCTCCAGTTCACCTCAGTTAAAAATCTGCATATTTCTCAATGCAATGGAAGAAAACACTTTTGAAATGAATTTTACATGGCAATACCTACAGGAAAAATTATCAGCAATGCACAAATTAACAGCAGAAGGATCAAAGAAGGCAAAAATACACTGAAAGTACTAATTAAGTTTCACAATAGGCTTTTAAGAACTATCACTCTTCCCATTTTATATGATAGGAAAGGTAAGGTAAAAGGACATCAGCTGTCCAGCATGGAATAACAGGGAAGACAGAAGATTAAAACTGGAGCTATGAAGGAATGCATTACACTGGATAAGGATAACCCTTTGCACTTCATTTCCCCCTACAGCTATTTCACCCAGTTGTAAGATTTCATAGTGCACAAGGACAGAAAGTAACAGCAACAAGATAACTCCTCTTGATACAATCGCTGAGGAAACGTTCAGCAACAAAAGAATGTCCATAAATCATGAAATCAATCCTTTAGGTCTATTCAAGCTTGCCAAGAAGCTCCTCCTCTGAAGAAGGCTTCAAGAAAGACCAAATGGGAATAAACAGCCTTGGAGCAGATTACATGATTACATGATTAGGTCAGGAAGGAAATATTCCACTGTTCAGGACCCTCTTTTCAAGAGATCATGCAACCCTCACCATGGAGACAATACCTTGTAAGGGCTGCAATATGAGATATTTGTAAACTTTCATTTGAAGGCTGATTCAGACTCCTTTTTGACCAGAATTGGTTTAGCCACCAGCCTACTCCAAGCAGCTTTCTCCAGAGTATATTAAGTCTTGTCTTTCTCTAAACAGCATGATTCTCAGTGGAGTCTACCAGAAGCCTCTTTTATTTAATTCATTATTCCAGGTACCAAAGGTTTGCTGAGCAACAGGGGAGAACAGGGATAAAAGTTACTTCTGTTGCAACTGGACAGTGGTCCATGGATTAAAATTAATGGCCCTTTGCTACCTAACAAGGAGGGGCCTATGGGTGATACTATATTTCCTGTAGCCCTGGAGGGACTGATGGTGGAACATCGGTCTTTTATGAACCTGTCAGTTTGTGGGAGCACCACACAAGAGTGTGCAGAAGATGCAAAGTGGAATAATAATGACAAAAAGGGCCCCTGGTCCCCAGCAATATTAAAAAGAGCATCAACAACAACAACACCAAAATTAAAAACAAACAAACAACAAAACCCACAGCTCAGATAAACTTTGCAAAGCAATGCAGCTGAACAGAATGTCAGCCTGACTTAGCAGGTTCTTTGTTTCTAAATGCTAGGTTTGTTAAGAAGAATCAAAGCAAAACATGGTCCCACACCACATCCTTATCTCTAAATTGGAGAGAGACAGGTGCGAAGGGTAGACTATACACTGGATAAGGAATTGGTTGATGGTTACAGCCAGAAGGTTGTGGTCAGTGGCTTCATGTCCAAGTGAAGGCTGGCAATGAGTGGTGTCCCCCAGGGGTCTATCCTGGGACCAGTGATCTTCAGCATCTTCATCAGCGGGATCGAGCTCACTCTCAGCAAGTTTGAAGACAACACCAAGCTGAGTGGTGCAGTTGATACGGCAGAAGGAAAGAATGCCATCCAGAGGGACCTGGACAGGTTTGACAAGTGAGCCCATGAGAACTTAATGAGGTTCAACAAGGCCAAGTGCAAAGCGTTGCACTTGGGTCGGGGCAATCCCAGCTACGTGTACAGACTGAGAGAAGAACTCAATGAGAACAGTCCTCTGCAGAGAAGGACTTGAGGGGTCTAGTGGGTGAAAAGCTGGATATGAATCAGCAGTGTGTGCTTGCAGCACGGAAGGCCCCATCCCTAGAAGTGTTCTAAGCTAGGCTGGATGGGGCTTTGGGCAGCCTGACCCACTGCCTGATTTAGTGGTTGGCAACCCTGCCCACTGTAGGGGAGCAGGACTAGATGATCTCTCGGGTCCCTTCCAACCCAAGCCATTCTAGGATTCTTTGAAAACAAACCCATTCCTTATTTCTATGTACATAATGATGCTTATGCACCCAGTCCCTCCCTCCTGTTTGGTTTATAGCTGAGCTCAGCTCCTCATTCTCACAGCACGTTGCAGTTCGTCTGTTCTCAGTGGAGACTTGGAGGTTGCAAGTAGTAAGGTTTCTCTTCCAGTATTTTGTCTCCATGTTCTTCTTCTGGAAACTGGCAGCTGTAAGTCTCTTCTCTGTGGTGGGATGGTTGTGAAGCCAACGGCAGCCTAGAGATGTTACGTTCCACATCTGCAGTGAGAATAAGCAAAAACACTGCACATGCAAGAAGCCTTCATACAGCTCATTCGCCCCATTACCTGTTCCAGCACAGACCCACTCTGAGGAGGGGGGCAAAGATACAGCTGAGGCACTGAATCATAGCGAAACCAAGCAACTAGTCCAAAAATCATACAGCAAATCAGTATCTACTCTATTTACTCAACTTACTCTCTTCTAAATCTGGAGCACGCACTGTTCTCCAGTGAAAAACCACAGGGAGGCCCACAAAGCACACTTACTGTCAGCTGTGGGGTGTTTTTCTTTCTTCAGCGACCAGATGCAGAGATGCAAGAAGAAGGTCAGCAAGATGAGAACAAATAGACCCACTGCTGTCAGGATGGCCAGCATGCTGGTGTACCGAGAATCATTTGTAACACTGTCTGCAATTCAATATACAACACAGAATAAGAAAACGCGTGCCCAGACAAATGCCAAAGGAAAGGCTGTGCTTCCAAGGAAATTTCATCATTAACTTCCTCTTTCTGTGGAAATTTATTTGCCTGGGGTAAAAGCAGTGCAGTTGTTTGCAATAGAACTGAGGTGCTCCCAGGCAAAGGTGCAGTGGATCACTACCTGTGGTAAAAAGCATTCATGAAAAAAGCAGCACTGTCACTTGCTCTATCTACTCTGTTTTGATTTTTGCTTTTTAGGGGGATTCACCTTCAATGTTTTCTTGAAAAGCAGTACAGTAAGCCAAATTTTCACACTTCTGACAGCCTCACAGAAATTAAAAGTAGCACCTTTCAGCAGTTTCTCTCAGCAGCACTAATAGCTTCTCTAAATGAAGGGCCCAGGGATCTGAAAGGTACCTCTAGGGATAAGGGAAAGGTAGAGACAGAAGCTTTCTCTGATATTCAGTACCTGCAAAGCTTGCAAACAGTCATTCCCGGGCAGTTTGATCCACGAAGAGACACACAGTTTCAGTTCTGAGTGTTGTGGACTGAACAAATACTTGTAAAGGAAGTGAATGACCCACTCAACTATTTCCTTCTGAGAAAAATCGAGCTAAGCAGCAGAGTTTCAGTGGAAAACCGAAAGTTTCCTAGCTGTGCTCTCAGGACAACTGCTGGTTGCCTGGGTCAACAACTCTAACCTGTCTTATACTGGCATAAACACAACAGTCATTTTCAAAGCAAGCTAGCATGATAGCAAGCTCTGGGTAGCACTGATGCAGGAGGGCAGCAACTGCAGACGCAGAAAGAAAGAGGAGGCTCAAAGAAACAAAGCGTTGTGAGCTGATACCTCGGTCCAAATATTTAACCAGGTAGCCACATAATGAATTGTGTGTGCTGTTGCCTTGCTTGATTGTTAGGAGGCCAGAACTTTCACAACTAGAAGAAGAAAGAGTCATATTTAGAGTGCTGAGTGCTGCTGCCCTTTCTTTCATTCCTCCCCAGCCTTCTTCCTTGGCTTCTTATCTTCCTTCCCACTGCTCTTTCCTTAGCTCATTTCCTTTGTTTCTTTTTCATAGCATTGCAGGTAAAATTAAAGCTGCCCCATAAGAAGATAATACCAGATCAAAATTGTCTCCATATTTAATTTTTGGTACAATTGATGCCCATATTTGGCATAATTTTGCATCAGTTTGTGCTGGACTTAAAAGCAGGCTTAATACATAGCAGCTTACTTTAAGGTTTGCTTTGAGATTGGCTAAAAAGGCAGAAGATAAATTTGTACTGCTGAATTTAAAAAGCCCGATCATTTAATCTCACTGGTGATCTCCTCTCTGATTCAATTTCCCCATCTGACATATTTGTCCTGCATGTCATCATGGAACAAAAATATCAATACTTACTCAGTCCAGCTTTGGCACCAGCTGTTCTTACCATTAGAATAGGTTCCTGTCTCACATGGTTTACATGAATACGTATAGTGAATGATACCTAGGAGATAAGAGAGCATGAATTGTTAGTGGTCAGTGCCTTTAACGAAAGACCCCGAGGTACAACAGCTTAGAGCTCTTTCTGCTTTATGAATCACACTCCTGGAGAGATGTGCAAGCAGCTCTTGCCAGTTTTGCATCTTTGGACACATAGGGGTTTTAGTCACTGAAGCCATGATATAGACACCATTTCTCTCCTCTATATCGCAAGCATTCCCAAAAGTGGATTGAAATAAGTGAATGGAACTGTGGCTCAGCAAGCTATTTATATTAAGCTTTGCCTTTTAGAGACATTTGTGTTTCTTTAGTTACCCAGCCTAATCAGCTCCTTGCCCTCTGGACATTCAGTTTTCTTGCAGGAGGAACAGGACCTATCAGTACAACTGAATCCCTGAGGACACTTGCAGTCTGCATCCTTTGCTTCTTCACACGGGCTGTTGTCCCCTGCAATGAAGAAAGAGAGAATTTAGAGTTGCCTTTTAACTGAAATGCATTTCACCATTAATCTGACTGGCTGATAAACACGAAACACATTAATAGCCCATCCAGTCAGCTCTCAGAATGCTGCCAGAGCTCTTCTCAGCCAAGCTCAACATCATTAAAGCAGAGATGCTCAAAAGACCATTGGCCAATGAAGACCAAGTTCCCTTTCCGTGCCTTTCCCAACAGCAGCTGTGACTTTCTACACTCTGCTGGAAGAAGGAAGTCTAAATCTGAGCCATAAAACCAACATGCTTCCTATTCTCTGTTTCCAGAGGAATTCTACTGTGAACTTTGCTTGCTCCCCACAAACGTCATCTCTAATGGTGAGGTTCCTGGGTTCATGAAAGCAAAGGAGTAATTGCATCTACTGATCCCATCAGCAAACAGTTCTATCAAGCAGTTCTTTCAACAGTGGGAGACCAGTTAAAGGAAAATACTATTCAACTCAAAGGTTTTGTGACCCTAAAGAAAAAAATAAATAAAGGAGGGAAACGTTTGAAAACCCACAGCAAGTTGTGAAGATCATTTCCTGAGATTGGTGATGGAATGTAAGGGTCTGCCAGGAACTGCCCACAGTTTCCTCTGCTCACCTCTGGCCTCCTCTTATTGGTATTGGCAACGTAACGAAGGCAGACAAAAAAAGAAATAGCTTCAGGATGCTTCTCTCTGTGTATTACCAGTGGGGGATTCTGGAGCAGATCCGAACAAGCAATGACTCTCCTACTGCACCCTATATCACTTGATGTCAATTGGAGTAGAAACCCTGGGGTCCTGATAGCACCTCTGGCAAGTGCTATGTGAGAGGGAACAGCCTTTCTGTCCACATGGAACAAGAATTCTCCAGCTACTGAGCAGAGGCAGCCCATAAAGCAGAAGGGATCCTCTCCTTCACTATATTCACACTAATTTTCTGCATCCCTTTGCTGACCTGAAGGAGCCTCAGTAAGGAACTGAATGACATTGTTTCTAAAAGCTCATTCAGCCACTATCTCCTGCATGGTCACCACCAGGTCCAGTGTCCTACTTGCCACTGTGACTGTGAACACATTGCCTCCTCCAGTCCCTTTCCTACTACAGAGCAAGAAGCACAGGCACATAAATCTTCAACACACATCCACTCTGCAGCTAAAGGACACTTTGAATTTAGTGGGGCAGAAAGGAAATCCTCGTGGTTTTGTTTTGAATACACAATTACTCAAAGCACACACACGCACCTGAAAGAAGACAAACGTATTCCCTTACCTGTGCTGGAGAGGCATTTGGGGCAGCATTTCTTTACATCCTTAGCAATGGCTCTCAGCTCACCATCAGGGCATGATATTGCCAGAGTCTGTTGTGCCCAGTGCCACAGGTACATTGCCAGCAGCAAGCGAGCTCGAGTGTGGAGGAGACAGATTTCTCTTCTCCGTCCAGTCATGTCTCAAGCTCTACAGCCCCAAAGCAAGCGAGGGTGGGCTTCTATCAGGACTTCCCCTGCTAAAATTCTCCTCCACCTGAGACTATGGGAAGGTACTGCGCTTTTTGTAGTGGTGCCTGTGGTTGCTCTTCCTGGTTCTTTGAGGGGCGGGGAAATGCTTCTGCTTTGCACCATCAGATGCTTAGAAAGCTAAGCAATCTTGTGCCAGTGACTTGAATGAGGAGAGGAGTGAGATGCAGAAACACATAATTTGATTTTCAGTGAGTTTTGCGAGTTGATATACAATTCATAATCAATGCAAATTAAAGCACAGCGTGAACTTCAGACTATTTAATTCTGGCTTATGGCTCCTAGAGAATTCAGAAACACTCTAGGATTTAGCTATGGGATGTGCAATGTACATTAAGGCCATACATCCACATATTTTCTTGATTCTGTTCACTGTTTTCAAGTCCTTCACACTGGTTCAGCAGACTCTTATTTTCATGGCTGATATAACTCTATACAGACACCACGAAACCAAGAGGAAATAATACTGCTCCAAGATCAGCCCTGATGCCATAATTGAGAGTAGCTGCAGGGACCCATGCAGATCCTCTGTCCTCACTTTCCTGGGATGCAAGTAGCAGAAAACAGCTCCTCAACAAAATTATACTGAAACATATCACCTGTAATCATGTCTTGCTGCTGGATTTAAATTTCACGCAGTCTTGTCTTATACAAACACAGACACACGCTTCCAACACTGCTTTATGTTTAGATAGCTTGCTTTTTTGTGGTTACATTTATGTGCATAGCAAAGACAAGCTTTAAAATCCAATCTTGTTCTCAACTGAACTGGTGAATTCAGACACAAAGAGCTCGGAATGGATTCTGTTCCACACTGCATATGATGACACATAGGTCAAGGCAAAGGAGAATGAGACTTGAGAAATGAGTTCCAGTGGAAAATACCATACCTTGGCATTTGACTTGCTCTTCATAGGGCTTGCTATATTGTTTCTTTAGTTTAATACAAGCCAGTGATGCCTAAATAAGTTTCCCACACAGATCCTATCGTTGTTCCTTTGCTGTGTTCTGTGCTTTCTTCCTGAAGATTCATCCATATTGCTCACAGAGTGGTCAAGCAGCAGGTGCTTCACTTGGTCCTTGATCTATTCATCTATCTACCTGTGTTCCTGTCACGAGCTGGAAGCAATCAGATAAATTTGGCATGCAATAGATCCTTCTAGGTGGAACCTTTCTGCCAAAAGCTTGCATCCCATCTAGCTGCTGCCAGGCTAAAGGTCAAGAACCAGTGGTTTGATTTGGCTTTTTTTTTTTTCTTCCCCAGAAAACCCCCTCAGAAGGCCAACTGTTGTTCTTCTGAAACTGCAAGCCTGCTAGTTTGTATGCCAGCCACGCAGGAGATCCCCTCCTCTTCCCTCACTGCACTGCTCCTCATAATACTGACAGCCTGTGCCACTCATGCTACACAGAAACCCAGAGACACTCAGAGACACTGCCCAGCTGGCTACCAAGTGCTGGCACCCTGTGCTAGGGTTCCTGCCACCAGTTCATTCAAACAATCATGAGTGTTGGGCAATGCACGGAAATTACAGGTAGTGACCAGGGGGCTTCTCTTGGCTAGAAAACAAGGTGCAGTCAGCAGCACACAGACCTCTACCTCATCCTCTGAAGACAGTGAGGGTCTACAGTCTTACAGTCAAGTCAAATTATTAGGCACAAGCATTGAGTGCTCCAACACGTTCTACAGGCTAATCAGTTATGACCACTTCTGAAATGCACACCAGCCCTGACCACCTCTGCAGGTATTTACATTATCCCTCGCTTGTGTCAGAACAGGATGGGAATACAGAGAATTTCTTTATGGTTAAAGAATTTCTTCATGGTCAAATTCCTGACCACGGTTACGTTAAGATTCGTCCCAGGCCATTCTAACAGCAACAGTGCTGGTCTGTATCACAATAGGAATCAATTGCTTGTTTTCCTCCAATTTTTGGAATACTGGTGCTTTATGAATTGGTCTTCACATGTCCTCATTCTTGCTGAACTACTACAGTTGGGTGCAAGCACTGGCAGATGATGGAACATTACAGTCAGGAAACTGACAAACACAGCAAGACTAAACCACTAGTGTCAGCAGTGACCTTTTAGAGGCAACTCAATTGTCTGTCTTCAGAATCTTTGGGGTTTTTCTGAAGCTAATCTTACCTGTCTCCGAGGTACTGACATTTCATCTGCTGACTCCTTTCTTGCTCAGTCCCATATGTGACACACGTTGATGCTGCCAGGCCTCATGCTGGTACCTGAGCCGGATCTGCACCTGTTGACAGAACAAATGACCACTTCACTAATCAAATCAGCACTAGTTCTTATCTCCTCACCTTCTGTTTGGTGGTTTTATTAAGAAGCTAGAGGGTTAACTGGACAACATTTGACTAAAACTAGACATTTTGGCTACCAGTAATCCTCACAGTCTGCAGTTTCCTAGGCAAGCTGAGGCCTGCAGTTTCTGTCAACCTATATGACCTGTGTTCAAAATTACAAGGTCATAAGAAGCAACGTGGTCTTCACGGTTGCCTGAGCACATTTCATGCCATGCTTTCTCTTTTGCATGAAATAAAAAGGCATAGCTGGCACAAAACTGTCAAGAACAGGTAAAGAGATGAAGCTGTCAGCTGAGATGCTCAGAAATACCTCGGGGTTCAGAGTTTGCTGCTGCCATGGTCTCTTCAAAGAGACACTCTGCAAGGAACCATACTGGAATTCAAGCTGAATGGTCTCTAATGCTCTGATTCCTCAGCCTTGAATGAAGGGGCCAGTATTTTAGGACTGTCTTCAATAAAAGAGCCTCGATTCTGAGCATGGAGCCACAATGCATTAAGAATCCTGGGAAAGATGGATTTCTTCTTTGGAGTCAATGGATCTACCAATCTGCTGGCGGGGGGTTGAGAGGAACAACAAAAAACAAAGTAACCACTTCTCAAATGTAATTACTTCTTGAAAGTGCAGTAGCTCTAGTGATGCTGCTTTTACCAGTGTTATCAATGATAAGTCAGGTTTCCTGACATTGACCAAAACAGCAATTTGTGTAATTCTTCAAGTAAGAAGTTATTCACATGAAATCTATGTAATTTCTTGAATGACTAACGATAGATCAAGGTAGATCAGCTCCTTTTGTCCCACGGTAGATAACTCCATCGTAAGCTAGAGGATTCACACTGTTGTTACAGAATTTGGCTATAACTATCTGCCAGTCTTTATTATAAAGCCTTCTACTATGCCATGACAGCTACAGGAGGGTTATCTCACATGTGGTTGCGTGACTTGCTGTGCCAGGGAGCCCGAGCAGAGCAGCAGCTCTGGAGGGCTGCAGGACACGTGAAGAAGCAGATGGGGCACATGGTAAGCCCGGTGTCACAAGGACATTCATCTGTTGAGTCCCTTCTTGCTCAGCAGGATATCATATGACATAGAACAACATCCACAGACCAGGGAAGAAAAAGCTCACAGAACAATAACTCAGCTGCAGTTGGAAACTAGAAGACAAAACCTCACATGCTCCTTTCAGTTCTGCTGGACTAACTTTTACCCAGACTCAAGACTTTGGACTAAGCAGAGCTTGCACTACTGGCAGCTCCCAGAGCCTGGGGTACGTGCAGTGTGCCTGTTCAGCGCCCGCCCTCTTTTGGCCCATGGGGAGCATTACCGTCCTGCAGACCTGCGACAATAAGGCTGGGGCTGTAGCAATGCAAGTGGTTCACATGGAGCCACACGTGGCTTTCTAGGCAAGTTGAATTTTCCTCACCTGGAAAAAGTTATCCAGCCTCCTGGATCCCACCTTTGAGCAGCGCTAAGGAGCCTGGTGCACACCCAGCAGAGCCCTGCTTTAGCCTACGAAATGAGTCACCTCTCTGGGTTGCCTGCAGCCTAGCCACCAAAAGCAGCGACTCCTGGAAAAGGTAGGAGCAGAGGCTGTAATCTAACAGTGACATTTCATAGATGGAAACTTCATGAAACCAGACAGAGGCAGAAAACTCACACTCCTTGACGTTACCAAGCTGTGCCTTTGCTCCCCAGCTCATCACTGGGCACGGTACGTTATCAGAAAATGTGATCTTTCTGAAGTCTCTCATGGAAATCTTGAGTCATTTTGATACGCTTCCAGGTCAAAGGTAATGTGATAACAACAAGAAAGTGCATGATAGAAGAGATCAGCAGTAGCCACAACAGTGGGCAGTCGTCATATATTTTAGGAGGAAAAGATAGAGTAGACAAAAGCCCAAGATTCTTTTCCTCCTGTTTTCTGTAGCAGTCTCATGACCGAATTTCTATCTCTGCAGGGGAGGAATTTCAAACAAAAAAATGTAATATGCTGGCCCCAAGGCCTGTAAATCACGGTTAGTGCAGCTAAATAGTGTGCAGTTGAATGATTAGTGGAAAAACTAGCTTTATCTTCACTTCAAAATGCAAAATTACAGGCATTTTAGTCTGTCTTATAGGTGGTTCTTAGGACAATCAACTGGAGAAATTTTAGTGACAATATTCACGCAGAAAGTTTTGCAGGTGCTTAAATGTCTTCTCAAATCAGGGCTCTATGCCAACTAAAATGCATTTACCTTACAAATCCTGTAACTTTACCAACTGCTCTGCCAAACAGTTCACATTAAAAGCGTGGTTTGCAGAATTAAAGAAGCTAACTGGTATCCTAGCAATTAGAAAGAGAGGTCTGTAGGAAAGAACTGTGTTATATTGGGGAAAAAAAAGTACTATAGCCTTATTATCAGCATAGAGGAGTAGCACAACTCCACCTGTATTTCCGAAAAAAGGGGAAGTCTGACAGTTGAAAAACAGGAACTCACTTTGTGACAGCAGGCTCCTATCTTTGAGAAGGGAAAGTTCCACTTCTGGCACGTAAGGTGACACAAATGTGGGCAGAAAGCAGCACCAAGGTGTTCAGGATTCAATACATATTATTAACTGGGGGTTTTACAGCTTGCTTGTTCCACAGTTTTCATGGTGGAATGAGAAACCCATTCAGAATTTTGACAAAGAGCAACAAGACCTAACGTGCTGTTTTTCAAATATTATTATGCTGGATACAGAAATCCTACAGCAATACAGCCAGAACAGGTGGGCTCATATTGTATTAGCATAAAAGCCTTCAGACACCGGGCATGCTGGATTTCCTCACTGATGAGCAACTGCAGGTTGTGCTCAGCTGCCCTAGCTTGGCTGTGCACTTCCAGGGCCATCAGAATCACACAGAATGGCCAGGTTGGAAGGGACTTCAAGGATGATGAATCTCCAGCCCCCTGCCACAAGCAGAGCCACCAACCTCCACATTTCACACCAGCCCAGGCTGCCCAGGGCCCCATCCAACCTGGTCTTGAACACCTCCTGGGATGGACGGGGCATCCACAGCCTCTCTGGGCAGCTGTTCCAGCACCTCACCATTCTCATAGCAAAGAATTTCCCCTGACATCCAACCTCAGTCTTCCCACCCTCAACTTAAAACCATTTCTCTTTGTCCTGATGTTATCTACGCTTTCAAAGAGTTGACTCCCCTCCTGCTTACAGGCTCCCTTTAGGTACTGAAAGGCTGCAAGTCCTTCTCCAGACAAAACAATTCACCTAGGCCCTGGTTTCCAGGAAATCTGATCAAAGGTTTACAGGAGGGCACAAGAAACTAGTGCACTCGAGCACGTTCCCATGCAGCTCAGCCAGAGGGCAGAAAATAAGTAAAATTCACCAAACCAGCTGCAAATAAACCCATGCCACAGAGCCTCTCTGGTCCCACGGCAGCACCTCTGCCAACTCCTCCTCTGTTCCTGTGGGCTGCATTTTTGCCATTAAGCCAGAGCTCATTTGCCATTAAGCTCATTAAGTCACAGTGAGCTCATTAGGTATTTGTGCCTCGCTCAGTTATGGCATGGTACTAACGGTATTGGCTGCCAAGTGCAGCCTACAAACTCTCTAAGTGTCATTTCTGAGAACTGCTTGAGTGTTCCCAGGAATCCTCTCTCAGCGTCATTCACTGCACCCTGTCATCCAGTTCACAGTGAGATGATGGTATCTAAACCACAGTGCACTCCCAATGACCTCCACGTTCAGAGCTTGGGCTCTAAGTTTTTGAAGGGGCTGAGCCTTATCTCCAATCTCCAGCAGCTCTCAGGCCAGACTGCTACCACGTGTGATTTGCAGAGCAAACCAGATTGCTTGCTTCACCCAGACAGCCAGAAGTGAAACAGCATACTGAAATAAAGCCTGCTATGCCACAGGTCTGACCATTTGGCAATCCTGCTTTTTGTATTATACTTGAAGCAACTGCATCCCAAAACCATTCTTGCATCTTAGGGTCACTGTGATCGGATCTAAACTACACAGCAGTTTTTACTGTAGGTCAGGGTCCACGGGATCAAGCCACTGCAATCAGTGGCTATGCTGGTGTAACAACAGGGCCTAGGTAAGCCTAATTAGCAGGTAATAGAGCACCTTCCATTGGTGCTGGTAAAATCACAATATGTCACTTCAGGTCAGGATGAACAGCAGAGTCTCAAAGGTCCCCACTGTGACTTCAACAAAAGAACTGGACCATAGGAATTTTGTTTAGCAATCAAATGCCCCAATACAGAAACCTACCAAAAAGTCAGTGCACATCTTATGCTCCCATCCAGAACCAGTCAATGTATTCTACAGACATACAAGTCATCCATGCACCTCACCACTGCCACAGTTTATTTGAAAGTCGCTACTACACTTCATATATAATACAAACGTTTACATACATTGTATACGCACTTCAAAATAGGAAGCCAATAAGTATACCATATGTATAACATATAACAAAACATATGTTTAAAAACATGAATCACAACCAGCAGTATTCTTGAATACATTTCCTTCTGCATACTTTGGCATATGCTTTAATACCATGTGTATAAAATACCTATTACATCTAACAAGTTACCTACTAGGGAGTATTTGATGTGAAAAATACATCTGAATGATATAAATCTCAAGTTAAACTTTTTACACACTGAGGTATTCAAATTACAGCAAAAGCTACCCACAGTAACACGTCAGTTTTTTCCTCAGGCATTACATTTTCAATGTGCTGTCTGATGTGTTCTCTCCAAGACAGATTCTGATTCACGTGTGAAGAAAACAAGACAACAGAAGCAAAATTCATTTCATACAGCATGCAGGCAAACAACCAGGCCTGCTTCAACTGCACACAAGCCATGTGAAGAACATTTCTTCAGTTCTGAATGGAGGTTCCATTGACAGCACATTCAAGGTGAGCATAGGTGCATGGTTTGTGCACCTATCCCCTGTTACGTGATCTTCATACACCTTTGCTACAATGCAACCCTTGTAGATCCATATGCACAGTGCTGTTAAAAATTCAGCTCTTCTTATTAAGAAGTGAACATCCAGGGAGTTACTATCACTAGGTTATCACTCACCAGCAGAAGTTCTACATGTCCATGTACATGCACTCAATTTAAGATAGAAAAAGGTTTTCCCCAAACCCAAATCTACTGTCTGGAACCAAGCTTGCTCCTGGGTTTCTCCCTGCATCCACATTACTTTGAAGCAATCAATCAAACCCCACAAAAGCAGTTTAAAGCATTTTACTGCAGAGAAGTCGAAGCTCGACTGAAGCAGCCTTGCTGGGGACAGCCACACCAGGGTGTTCAGCACAACAGAACATCCACAGAGAGGAAGCAAGAAGTACGCTGACTGCACAGAGTTTATAGACAAAACATGAGTTATTCACAGCAACTTCCGAAGTCTAAAGCACGGACAAGTTGTATCCTGCCTTTCCCCCTGCTCCGAACTTCAGTTTCCATTAATAACATTCTAAAAGAAGAAACCATTCCTTTTGCCTTCTGGCAGCAATCACACAGATTTTACTTTTGATACGCATGAGAATGTCTACAGATGTTCTGAACAATTGGAGAGCTTGAGCTGTTTTGAAGTCATGAATAATTCTATTTGATGGGCTATGGGGATACTGCTCAATACTTAACATGACATTCTCTCAAGGTCTGCCTGGGAGACAGGCAGAAAAGAAAGAAGTGGCACTAAATAGCCATTTATCAACAGTCACTTAAAAACCACCACCAGAATTGGCAGCTGTGACAACTGCCTCTGGAGGCATGGATGCCATATACAGCTCATTTTGAGCGAGAAGCAAAAAAAGCTGAAAAAATGGAAGCACAAAAGAAGCTGGTTAGGTTCATTTGTGGAGATTCTCCACCTAAAAGGCAAAGAACTCCATTGGGAGTTAGCCTGAAACACTCAAAAGGGCTGCACTGAGATGTGCTCTGCTTAGCATCTCAAAGTTGCAGGACAAGATAGAAGTCTAGTTATTAAAGCAGGTCTTTTGATTTTCTGTTTGTCCATCTGCTTAGTGATTACTGCTTACTGCTTCATAAAGATTTCCTGCTTTCCAAAGACAACAGGCTCCCATTACATATATGATTGGTTAGAAATGCACAAAGGACTGCAGAAACTCAGGCTTGGCAGCAGCAACGCTGCATGTAGGAGCTAAGGAGAAGGAATCATGGCTCACTAAGAACAGCTATGATGCCTAAGGGCCACTCAGTGAGACCCAAAGGAACTGAAGCACAATTGAACAGTTAACATCCACCCACACATACAGCAACTGAAAGTTCTGTCACATTCGTTACAATCGACTGGCTCAGAAATGCAGGATGCAGTAAAGTGATGTGGATTCAGTTTTTTATGAGACTGGAATTGGAGTCAACTTGTTCTTCCTGGATAGGAATTCGAAAGCTCCTTTCTGAAAGACAGAAAACAGAAATACTGTACAAAGTAGAAGGGGAAGGAAAAGGAAAGTCACGGACTTCCCCGGTTTCATGGATGCATAGGCAGCTATAGGTGACATTTGGATCAGTGGTTGTCCTTCCTGTCTGTCCTAGCAAAGAATAAGTGTAGGAAACAAGGAAAATACACTTTACCACTGCTCCATGAGGAAAACAAGGCAAGAGCCAGACTGCCATTTAATTACAAACAGAGGTCAGTTCTTCTCAGTCAACCTTTCCTGTGTTTGCAAGAGTCACATGAAGAATTCACTGTCACGTAGGCAAAATAACTATAATTTGCTCCCTAAAAAAAAAAAAACTTGCTTTTGGATCCTCACTGCTCTGAATAGAATTCCATGCACAGACTGATTTCTCTTTTTGATGTTGGTGGGGTGTTTTTTTGTTTTGTTTTGGTTTTTTTTTTGCAGGGACAATGGGGGAAAAAACATGAGATAAAAATCAGAGAGAAAGAAGAACACAAATCAAGTCAAACAGGTAATGATGTAAACGCTCCAAGGATTCACACCAAAAGCTGTACAGGAACAATTTCACACCATTTCCATCCGCACACTGTAAACTCAATCCTTCTGCATAGCAACAGAAAAACAAATCTCTGCTTTATAACACCACCAACTTGAGGCTGTATGTCCTCCAGCACATCAGGACTAACATTAAACGTGGGCATTAAGCACAGATGATGCTGTCCTACTCAGCCAAGTAGACTTCATGATGGAAATGATCAAAGTCCAAGCAAAGGGCCCTGATTATTCTCTTTCCTATAGATTTTTCTCCCTAAAGAGCAACTTACTTTGATGGTCGTTCCTGCAAGGCCTCCTCTTGTTCTCCCTTTTGGCTGCTTGGATAATCAACATGAAAATGGATATTCCAGATACGATAAGCAGTATCAGACAAATCAGGATAAGTGATAGAGACCCTGCAAAAACAAAACAGAAGAAAAACAAAATATTAACAAAGACGATTTTAGATGGAATTTCCACAGCTTTCTAGCTTCAAAAGAAGGAACCTGGAACTTCAGATCTCATCTAAGCAATCAGCTAGAGCAACGATAACCCTGAACCACAAAGCCCAAGAGTCCCACATATCGAGAACACTAGCAGATAGTCTGGAACCCTGTACAGGCCCTCCTTAAAGACTGTGCAGAATACAGATAAGTGTTCTGAGAAAGACCGATTTCTGATGAAATCAGCTTCAAGTGAAAATTCTCAACCAGCTCTCAGAGTGACTATGCTCGGTCATTCCCTCTCCTTACCCCAGTTAGTGCCTGTGGGGCTCTTCGCATCTGGGCAAACAACAAAAGGGTTCACACTGGGTTTGGAGGGTGAAGGCACTGCAGTCGATGCATTATTCCTGTAGTAGTTGGTGGAAAGATGCAAAGTAGGTGTTGCACTTTGAGAGGTAGCTGGCTGTGTCCCATTGTCACTGCAAACAGCATTATCTGATTTTGTCCCTGCTCGAAGAGTCTTTTTCCCAATAGCGCTGCAGCTAGAGAAGTAAAATACATTACTTAGCTTTTCAAGTCGTTGCAGTAATGACTTTATAAGCCACCTCCGTGGAACAAGTGAATGAAAGCCTGTGAACCTTGTTTTATCAACGCAAACTTGGCCTTCAGCTTTTCTAGGTTCTACAGATATGTAAATAAGAATTAAGTTCATCAAAAGCTATTAGTGGAAAAAATGAAGCGCTGCTTTACTGGCCATCTCTGCACTCAACAGCCTTGAACAGCAGCATTTGGCAAGGGAACTTTTTGTTATAGACATCTCTAGATTTTAAAAAGGGGCTGCATATATTGGTGCTCCCTGCGAAAAGAGGAAGGGGCAGTAGGTGGATGGATGCCTCAAGTCAGTGCACAGACAGCTGAAGACTCCTGGGTGATCAGCAACACAGTTTCACTGCATCCACTGCTGGTTTATTGTACAGATCATGACTCGAGCATTAATTGCTACAGAGTAAAACTCAAGCTTTGTTCTGAAAGTGTTGGGATGAGCAATACATACTTAGTCCAAGGCCGACAGCTTTCATTTCCTCCTGGGGAATAAGACCCATCAGGACACATTAAGCACACTGAAAGAAAAAAGCAGAATTTGAGTTCAGTTAGCAATGTAACTGTATAGCAGCTCTGTGGCAGTTACACTAACAGCTTCTAGAACAGATCCAACAAAACCCACAGGCTACAGAAACAGTGATCTACCCTGGGACAGAAGTAACACAACATGCTCAGGGGTTCATTTTAGTCTGCGACTCGCAAGGATTTCTCTACAGGCTAATTATTGATATTAATGGACAGAACATTACAATTTCTGATAGCTCAAATTGCAGAGCAGCAGTTTGCACAATTGCCCTGCTATAATACTTACTTTGAGATTCCCATTAAACAAATGATGACAGCTTTTGTACTAGAAAAAGCAACATCTGAAGTGGAGGCAAGAAGTCAGTCTCACACATCCCTAACTTACCACTTCCCAGTGCATATCTGACATCTGGCATGTAACCAGGAATACACTTGCAAATTCTGTCAGAGGTCTTCTCACACTTCTTCACTTCCACGCTTCCCTTCTCTATGAACAGCAGAATAAAGGAGAAAGGAAAATTGAAAGCATCAATTAACCACCACTCAGGGCCTATCAATTGTGTGTAGAAACAACCTGCAGACGCTGCAGAGGACAAAGTTCGACAGCAACACTTGAGATATCAGTTTTCAGGCAGTAAAAGCCTGCTTTCCTCCCCCAATATCAACCAGGAGACATCAGCTATTAAACTGATTGCCCATCAAGTTTTTGTACTTCGCCTTCTCAGGAGACAGGCTGTATGACATCAGCCTTTGGGAAGCTTAAGAAGATGAGAAAGCATATGAAGACCAACTCCCTCCCAAGTTCACATCCAGAACTGAGCACAGTATAACTGACTTACTAGTGTCACAGACTGTACAACTCCTGCAGAAGCTGTGATTGTGCTCAGTGCTAAAGTAATTGTCTTGACAGGGGGCACAAACTGTGTCTGCTGTTGCTGTGCAGCGGCTTCTCATTCTTTCACCTAAAATACAGACAATATAGAAGGAAGAACTGATTGTTATAAGGAGGAAATCCTCTTCGTTATCACGCACTAGAACAAATTGTCCAGGAAGTCAGAGTTTCACTTACAACTCTGACTGAAACATTCAGCAGATTTACACATGCCAGAACCCCTAGAATTGTTGCTCTATATAGCATCAGCTATAAATTAAGCAGTGAAAGCAGGCTAGTAGAAGCCAGGCAATTTGCTAAGACTTGAGAGCACAGATGAGTCTCCCAGTGCACTTGAAGCATCATTTCTCCAGCTCACTTCTTCATTCGCTACTGGAGTTTCCAGCCAGTGTCAGCTGGAGAAAGCAAAAAAAAAAAAAAAACCAAACATTTTTTAATCCTAGTATCATCTGTTCTCTGTGTAAGGCTGTAGCTTTGTGTGACAGATCCTGCCTTCCATTGTGAGATAGCTCATGCAATTCAACTCAAAGCTGGCATTCTTAAAGCACACTAGACATGAATGAACGGGGCTGTATTTTGATTCTCATCTGCATTAGCATCAGTAGCAAATACATCACCAGCTCCACTTCATACAAGAGACAGAAAAGATGGAAGGCAGGCATTTCTTGTGACTCCAAAGAGCATAGGTGCATTACACACTGCGTTTATAACCCAGCTAACACTTGCACCCATAGGTACTAATCAGTATCATATCAAGCACAATTACAGAAGGTCAGATTTATGCACTGGGATGCCAAGGTTAGCAAGCAAAACCACTTGCCCAAAATGAAACAGCAGATTAACAGCCAAGTTCAGAGAAGGAATCAAATTCCTCTATCTCACTAATTTCTCTTCATACAGCATAAGCTGCAGGAACTGTGATCAGCTTGAATGACCGGGAGTCTTCCAGCTGAAGTTAAATACTAACCTTAACTAATCCTTGTCCTCACACATTATTTCTTTCATTTTGACCCTCCATCTTGTAGGTCAAGGAGAAACAAAATGATTGAGATATAAGCAATCTTGCGTATCTGCATGCAAGTATAAATTTCCTTAAACTGAGCCCAAAAACACTCAGGTTTCCATAGTTTTGGGAATAAGGCAGTAATGAGACTGCTTCAAGTTTTAAGTTTCATACTGAAGGCCAACTTATCGCAACTGGCATCTGAAGACAACGCCACGTTCAATTTCTACTTGCAATTTCTTCTATGCAACAGACTGCATAACATCGATTTCGTGTGGTAGACAGTCATGAAAATAGAAAGCACCTTTGTAGAATCTGCTCACAGACTAACAAGAACAGAAAGTTGGGTGTTTCTCATTTACAGTTCTTCAATTTTTGTTTAATAGTGCAGCTTTTTCCTTAAAAAAAAAAAAAAAGAAAAAAAAACAACACCAAGCCTTAAGTAGAAAAAGTCTTGCTAGAAAAAAAGTTACTAAAACATCCATAGCAAGAGAATAACCTAAAGGTTTTTTTGCCACTATTCAAGATTTCTGGATTGAAATTCTTTTTAGTAGGTAACTCCTACCACCTTTTCCCAGATAACACTCCCACTGTGAAAATGCACCAGACTGACACAGGAGGGAAACTGAGCCACAGCAATGAAATGCTGTATCCCTAGAGGAGGTTCATAAGTTCAGTAAGCTACAAGATGACCTGTCCTCCTGAAGCGATGGACATTCCTCAATTAGTTTTTTTCCCCATGTTTACTTCCTAATTTGAATATTTTCATCAAGATATTTTCTACCACTTGCAAGTTATTAATTGATTGATATCATATCAAACAAGTACCATAACCATACAGTGAAGGTTACTTACCAGGTGCACAGTCCTTGCAGCATTTTGTACCAAAAGGATATTCATGTTCTTTGCATTTCGAACCCAAGCAATGGGTAAAAGTGACCACCAACAGCAAGAACAGAACAGGAGAAAAATGCAAGTAAAAACCTGCAGCCACCATCACGTAACCCTACTGTCCTGCGAAAGGAAGCTCTGTTTTCTCAGCAGCAAACTCTTGGAGGAGCTGATTGCAAACCACTGGCAATCAGAACAAATTCTTATGTCAGCTGCTGGGAAATTCCCAGTATGTGTTCCACGCCCTCACGTTTCTTCCCACCCCCTGGCAAGCCCATTTTTTGTAGTTCAGAACTGTATTCAAGGGCAGAAAGACAGCAAGCTAAGTAGCAGTATTACAAGAAGGCTATAGCTTAGTCTTAAGAAAGCGTGCCTCTAGCCTCGTACACATCTCTCTGCCAACTGCTAAAGCACAGTTTCAACATCTGGAGAAGAAGAAGAAACACCCCTTGTTATTGTGAAGAGAATTAAAGCAATAGAGGCAACACCAGAAAACGGTTACGTATCAGAGCCACAGGTAAAATGAAACAGCACACAGAGACTCACTCCTCAACAGGCAAGTAACAGACAGATTCTCTGCCCTCAGCGTCACGTAACAGCAGATCTATCACTTCTACTCCTGCATAAAACCCAACATTGTTAGTACCTTTCTCTGCTTAGGAAGTCACCTCCGTATCATCCTCCAAACTAGCACAAGCTGTGAGATGCACTTGCACAGTTTTCATCTGGACTTGCAACGTCACACACCCTGCACTGCCATCGGAGAGAGGTATGTATGCTGCTGACTCAAAAATAGAGACTGGTGTCACTTTTACCATTTGCTCCAACGGAGGGAATTTTTTTCTGGTAGAGGTGTGCTCTGTGAAAGCAAAGGATGCAATATTTACGTACCAGCTACCTTTGATGCCTGTTTTTACACAGCACAGGCACTGCAGTCCACCTCCCACCTAAAGAAGGACATGTAGTAGAGAATAAGGTGATGGCACTAGGAAATTCATGGCTCTCATTTTTGAGGTTCATTACTGGAATCTTACTAATACAGGACCCAAATTTAAAGGTCTTCCCCATGCCAAGAGATTTCAAACAACTCTTACATAAAGCCCAAATGAGACATTCCACAGTGACTGGGTATTTTATTTTCATCAGTTAAGAACACATCTAGACTGCCTAAAGGGGATCTGTTTCTATCTACACGTCAACATGAAAGACCTGGAACTGGAACAGACTTATACTTGGACTCCCAGCTGGCCCGCAGAACCAGAAAGGTCTGAACAGCAGCACCCATGGCCTATTTTAGCTGGAATGCTGCTTTTTCATTTCTTCAATTTCTGTGAGTCTTTTAAACGTGGCAGGGAAAACAGAACACTAAGGCAAAAGGGTGGTTTTCTACTTCTCCTGCTTTCCAAGCATTCTGGAAAACAATCAGCGTGGAAAAGAAGTCACAGCTGAAAGCCAATCCTTCCAAAAGGAAACAGAGCTGAGAGGGAAAGTAAAGCAGCTGAACTTAACCACCTTCACACTCAATCTGCACGCACGATACCCAGATCTCCTTCTGTAGTATTGCACTCAGTGCCACCTCAGTGCCTCTACGCCTCATGACTCAGTTATTCCCCCAGCAATATTGAGGCTTTTTTTTCCAGTAAGAAACTGAAAATGCAAACTCATGATATTCAGAAGCAAGGTATGGTTAAGAGTCTGCTACCTACATTTAAACTGAGAACTCCTAAAATGTTACATCAGCAATGAAGCACTCACATTCTTGTTAAGGATGCTTTAATACAAATGAAATTCTCCTCTGGTGGGTTTCAACTCTTCCCATTCATTGAGAAACCTAAAACCAGAACATTTCCAAACCACAAAGAAAAAATACAAAATGATGTATGTATATAAAGACTCTGAAACAAGCCATTTAACAGAAACGAACCAAATAAAAAGTAGGGCATATTGAAACAGAAAGATGGTAATACTTATATTTACATTATATTAAGAGAATAAATTTACTCAAATATAACATCTTAATTGGATTTTTCAGGCAACCCTTCAGAAAGAGGGTTTTACAGTAAAGATGAAACCAGCGTAAAAATACTTTATTTAGACAGCAGTGGGAATGACCTTCGTGCTGCACGAGACTGCCAGGGATGACCCAAAAACAGAGTGATTAAAAAACCCCAAGTGCTCACTGCACTTTGCTCTGTCAAAAGCCATTCAGAAGCAAAGAACGTTTTTCTCCCAACCTTAACGTTCACCAGCTCGTCAGCATCACTAATTTGCACAAAAACAAGCACCTACACCAGTCTCAACAACCACTTTTAGTTCAGCAGGAATCATAGATCTAGGTGAAGCCCTTTGCTCTGTGCAACCTCTGAAATGCACACAGAAAAAAAAAACCCAGCACCAGTTTTCTTTTTAAACAGATGCAGAAAAGATTCTCTAACATTTAAAGCAAGCTCTTTTCACAGCTCTTAAAATTCCATTATGGCAGGAGAACCTGGATTAAATTCTCAACAATGCATAGCTAGGTTGAGATGCCTTGAAAAACCTACTGGATTATCATGGATGAATGAGGAATCTCAGGAATATGGCTATCATCTTTTCTCCTGATTCATGAGTACCTGCAACAATTACTGGAAACAAACTGTGAGAACAGCATTTGCTGGAACTAACTCCTGTGACTGCTCAACAACAGTGCTCAATTCTTAAGTGAAGTAAAATCCAGTAAGAACTGAACCTCAGGACATAAACAATGACAGTAACCAAGTAAGCCATTGATACTGAGTACAGATATCATTAAATGTGTATTGACTACACAAATCAGGGAACAGTAAAAAAAGAACTGAACGTGACTGGAAAAGCACACACAGCAAGAACAGCCCAGGCAGTTGCATCCTGATACAATTTACTGATTTTCTTAATTAAAAAAAAAAAACCCACAAAACTTTGAAATGGATGTGACCATAAACAAAATACAAACAGATGATTTGCTGAGCAAAACAGAAGTATTCCCAATCAGTCTATGAATGGATATCGTCACGAGGTTAGAACACTTATCTGAACCACAGTCCCCCTTTACAAAAGCCAACATCTTTCAGTGTTTATGGGTGATTTCCCATGGATCTGCAGCTATGAGGGCAACAATATTTAAGATGCCTCCATCAAATGCAATTAGCCAAAAGCAGCTGGAACTTCAGCTGGATTAACTGTATAAAACAGAGTGAACTCGAGCAGTCCAGTACTTGCCTCCTTATTTTTGGACTTGGTTTTTCATTTCACATACCAAAGGCAACAAAAGCTGCAGATCTTCTCTATGGACGGAAGGTTTTTTAGTACAACACAGTACGCATATAACACAGATAGCAGCAAGGAAACTTGGTGAGTGTTGGGGTTTTTTTTTTTTCTTTTCTGTTTTTCAAAAGCAGGAAAGTGCTTCAGAGCTCTGGAAAAGCGAGCAAGGTCAGAACTCCTCATGGACGTTACGTGCATAGTCCATAAGCTTGCTGCCTGTGAAGTATTCGCTGTATTTCAGGATCTCCTCCAGCTCTAAGTGATGGTTTTGATTTTCATCTGCGACTGCTATCATTTGCTTCGCCTCATTTAGAGCATTGTATTCATTCATAGGATCCATATATTCCTAGAACAAGAAAATTATCAGCAATCACTGCAAACGTGTATGCCTTCTGGTAGATTCTTCAGAAGCATTTGGAAAAAATCCCTACATCCACATACAAGTCTAAATGCCAGGAACTAGAATCCAGACTTAAAAACAGAGTTTTCAGGTAAGAACACCCTGAAAGACAGGAGATCTCTGCTATTCTCTAGTCTGTGAGGCCCCAGGGCTGCTTCATTTTACTTTTGATACTTTTTTTTTTATTATTTTTAAATGAACACGTTGCCAGTTACTTGTTTTGTAAGTATGACTCATCGTCCCATTAAACGAAATCGGTGGCTTCTTTTCATGCACTACAGATCCATACAAGCACCTACATTACAAAGAAAACAAACCCTAAAAGCATACCTATGAATAATAGCAATGAATAGCTATGAATAATAGCAATGCTAGGAAAAGTCCTCCTCCTCCAAGAAAAAGCATTACAACATCCTTCTTCCAAGCACCACTGAACAGTATTACAACCCAAGATTTGGTAGACTGCTAGTTCAAATATTTCTGGACTTCATGACCTCTAGGTTCTTTACACTACAAGAGTGGTGAGGTGCTGGAACAGCTGCCCAGAGAGGCTGTGGATGCCCCGTCCATCCCTGGAGGTGTTCAAGGCTGGGTTGGACGGGGCCCTGGGCAGCCTGGGCTGGTGTGAAATGTGGGGATTGGTGGCCCTGCGTGTGGCAGGGGGTTGGAGCTTCTTCATCCTTGAGGTCCCTTCCAACCCTGGCCATTCTGTGATTTCTAAAGCAGTCTCAATCCTGTATTTAAAAAACACCTGCTGATTTTAAGACCACTAGAACTATTTGATGAAGACTTACCTCCAGCTCCTCCATTGTGACAATACCGTCATGGTTAGCATCAATGACCTCCTCAAATTCCTTCTTTCTGTCCTTTACCCAATCATCATCAATGTCTTGGGCTTGCTGGTTCTCTACAGTACCAACAGGTAATGAAATGAACTCTGAAAGGGTAAGTTTCTTATCTCCATCTTGATCTACAACAGAAATATACAGTAACTGAAACTTACCTGTTTAATGTCTATTAGAAATGAGACATTCCTTCACATCAGTGATGTCACTAGTACAGTTGGTTGGGTTTCCACAGTCCACAACCCTGATTATGCCACAGAAGAACTGGCTACCTTTTATACCTTTGGTTAGCAGAAAGCTCAATTATGGCACCCACACAGTGTTTTAGAACCTGTCAGTATGCAAAAAACAAAGTACTCAACTGTGTCTGAAAGATACACCAGCTGGCAGGCTGGGGATTGATTTTATAGTTGCTGTTCATTTCTATTTATTTATTTTTAATTGATCTGCTGCAGCCTAAAGTGTTGGACAGCCGCATCCAGCCTCCTATCAGAATTCAAGTAAAACTCCATCTTTATCAAATCAACTACTCACTAAGCAGGAGTTCATTTATTTATTCTTTTTTTTTCCCCAAGTATGCCTAACTATTGACTCCATAGGAAAAATATCAGTGGAAATGTCAGTGAAAACGTCAACCACGTATTTCCACTTTCAGCAGCATATATCAAAATTCTTTCACGGTTGCTACGCTGCAGAAATATAAAGCAAGCATTGCCTCCTCACAGAGCATTCACATCAACATTTTACAATATTTTAATATTCATCAGCTGCTTTCTCCTATTGCTACAGAGACCCTACAAAGCAGCAGCACTGTGGTGTGAAGTGGTGTCAGCTGAGCTGCTCTGTAAGAAGCACTAAGAATGCCTTTGTAATACATGATGCTGTGCTGCTCTTTAACAAGCAGAGGTTAAATCTAGTCTTGAATAATATACAGGACAACTCTACAGAGATGCCAGCATTTATGCTAACGGTGTATGCAGAGAGCAGAGTAAACAGCACATGCCAAACTTCCAGACTGAGCCATGACACTGCAGTGATCGAACAAGAGCTCCCAAGAAAACATCTATTAACATGCTGTACCCAAATCTCGGATGATTTCTTTGACCATAAACTTCAGCATTCCCCTGCTGTGCTCTGGATGAAGGAAGGATAAGAACTCTTCTTCGTTCAATAACATATCAGGAGGTGGGTTGTCAGCTTGGTACCACCGATCCTTCAGGTTATCCAACACTTCTTGTGCTAGAAATTGAAGAAGATTAAAACCATACGTTTAACCTATTCACAGTTGTGTTTTTTTTTTAAATATACTGTCACCTATTCATTATTGTTTAAACAAGGATGACCTATGAACCAGTTACTTCATATCTCATCTTCCAAGGAAAACTGAAACAGCGTCCTGTACTTCAGCCTAAGCATTTGAATTGTTGTAACTATGAGAGATTTGAGAGGGTAACTCCACAAAAAAAAAAAAAAAATGTTATACAAAGCACCAACAAATCCATTTGGTTTCCAGTTAATTCAGGATATAAGCACTCATTACTCCTTTTGGCTGCCCTGTCTATTCTGTATCAAAAAGCAAGGGTTTTGGTTCTTAGCAAAATGAAGATAAATATTTCTGCTACAAAGAACAAGCATAAGTCTAAGCACCCACATACAAATAAACACATCAGCAGCAGTAATCGTTTCACAACTCCACCAATTCCACCTTACATCATACTAAGAAGCATTTTTTAGGTGAAATTGTCCTAAATTCAAATGAGGTTCATAATTTAAACATGAGTTTCCACTAAAACCACACCAGTGACTCAATGAAGAGCCACCCTGCAGCACACAGCACAAACACTGCATGCAGCCGTGGTCCTGAACGTAACCAAACAGGAAAGCAATACCTGTGCAGAGCATTCTTTCTCTGGTGTAGGCATTTTCTAAATGACACATTGGAAAAAAAAAAAAATACAGTCTGTGGCACGCCATATCTGTAAGATGTACTAACAAACATGAAAAATGAAGCACTGGCATCTCACAAGTCGTAAAGAGGCTCTGAAGGACCACAGTCACTGCATAACATACATATATTTAATTCAATAAGCTCTCTTTGATATCTCCAGCATGCTTTT